AGTATTTCATTATTTATTCTTAATCCCTATTTATCAAAAATCTCACTTCTCGAACTAAAAGAAAATCAACAAATCAGAATCCTGAACCATTTGTGATAAAGTTTTCGAGTATAACAATAAAAAAATAGAATTTACTCAGAAATAAATCTTTAAAGAAGTTTTTGATAATTATAATAAAAATAATTATTATTATCTAATAAAATAAAAATATTATATTCCGATCTAACAATTAATATCTGATTTAAAAAAAAACAAAAAATTTCTAACAAAATATTATATATTATATCCAGAAAAGCCTGGTTTACCTGTCTGAATCCTTTAGAATTTTATTATAAAAGAATTATTTGTTCTAGCAAAAGTATTAGTTGTATAAGTATTATTGTTTATTAAACCTAAGCTATAATACTTTATTAGGGAAAGAAAATTATAAATCAATAATATCGAGTTAAAGAAAAGTATTTGATTTAATGACTACACTTATATAGTAATCTTTAATAATTACAGTTTTGATAATGAATAATGAATAAAACGGAAGAATTGATAAATAGGATATATAACTAAAATAATTTAAGAAAATTTATAGGAATTTGTTACAAAAAACAGGGACTTTATATTATTTGCTATATTGTATACTTATTTGAAGATAAACAAAATTTGGAAAAAGGGGATACTGTTATAGATTTATTACCTTTATTATTCTTATCATCCTTACTATCCTTACCATTCTTACCATCTGTTCCTAGCTAGCTCGGATGAATGCTTTAGGCATCCATCCACTATATAATCGTTGTCGCTCTGTGCGCCTCCTTTCCTTATTGAATATTATACATCATACCTAGTACCTACCAGAACCCGTACCAGCCCCGTGATACCCGCCGAGTAGAGTAGAAAGATAAATATTTATTTTTATAATAAGAGAAAAGAATTTACTCGTAGTAAGTACTGTATACTCGAGTTATTTATTTCTCATCTCTTAGATACCTATATAAATAAATAAATAAATACTTGGAATTTCACTCTTACCTTCAAGTTAAACCTCAAACCCCAAATCTCAAGCTATACTTTCTCTACTCCACTCCATTCCATTCATTCAAAATCAAAAAATCAAAAATCAGAAATCAAGAATCCAATGCCAAAAAATACCAGTAAGAATTGCAATTATCATTATCATTAATTGTAAACACCGCCTTTCCTCGTCATGTCTACCTAGGTAATGTACTCCTTCTCCCTAATCTTTATCAATCACCAAGCCAACCAAGCCAACCAAACCAAACCAAACCAAACCAAACCAAAATCAACGCATCCACTTAAAAATATTAACTCAAGTAATCGCAGGTAATAAAAAACTCTAGCCCTAGCCCTAGCTCAAGTCTTCCCAGTTAAAATCATGTCATGTAATATATGACATGCGGCGAATCCCAATCTATCATCATTGACTTTTCCATACTCCGTCATTACCCATACCGGTACCGATACCAATACCGATGTCCCATACCCAAACACAACTTTCATCCATCCATCCATCATCCATCCAAAGCACACCATACAATTCCCCCCTCCAAACTAAGAACAAGGCACCATAAACAACCCAATAGCACTACTCGCACTATTCTCAAAATACTCCAACCCCAGTCCCCCCACACTCTCCGCACTATAACTCTTTGTTTTCCCCGCGGGACACTCAAACACCGCCACCGTATACCCCTTTCCAGGCAGAACCTGCAGCGTACCCAAATCACTCTTTACAACCGGTTTCGAATCCCACGTCGTATTTACGTTTGCAATTCCATCCAGCACTGCAAAATTAATCCCACCATTTTGCTCAGTCTCTTCTTCGATGCCTGTGAAATTATACGTTCCGGCTTGAGTGGCTGATGCGACGGGTAGTAGGAAGAGTAGAGCGCAGGTTCCTGTGTAAGGGGCAGAAGAAGGTATGTCGAAGTTGAAGAGGGTGCTGTTTTCGGGTGTGATGTGTGCGGTGAATTGGTTGCCGAATGCGTGGGTGGGGGATTCGGGAGATATAGGTACGATGAGGTGGGGGTATTGGAAGGGGCCTGATGTGATGTCTGTGGGGCAGGAGGCGGTGACGGAGGTTGTCGAGGTAGTTGCGGGCAGGGGGATGATGGAAAAAGTAGGAGTGGAAGTTGCAGATGCGATGGAACTCGTCGATGTACTCGTGGGTCTGCCCAAAGCCGCACAGCTAAATCCTCCAGTGACGATTTGGATGGTTTCACAACCCGTTGTGTTCTTCTTGGCCTGGGTGAATATGTTGAAACTTCCATCCTCACCGGGTCCCGTCGCAGGACAGGCTAGCCAATTCGCATTGGTGTTGTTGTAGAGTAAATTTCCATTATCTCCCAATGTGAATAATGTGACGGCGGAACCTTGAATACATTGAAACTGGGCTGTGGTGGAGGATATACTGCAATTGTGACCTTCGGTATCGGTGAGCTTCTTGGCATCGATGCTGTAGAGGCCTTGGGGATAGGTTCCGCCAATTCGGTTTTCTCCTATGGTGGTTTCGACAATAGATCCATTGGGATCACCGACTGCGGCCATGTAGAATGTACATGGAATAACTTGTCTGGGGATAACAACAGCATTTGTTACCGCTACAAGAGTAACGAGAGAAAGTAAGTACTTCATGTTTAAAATCTTCAAAATTCTGTAGACAATTTAGGATTTTAGGATTGAAGATTTAAAAAATGAGTACAAGTAATAAAAGGGAGAGAGAGAGAGAGAGAGAGAGAGAGAGGGAGAGAGAGAGAAAAAAAGGAGAATGAATTTGAGGAGGTTGATATGAAGAAAGTGGAGGAGGTTATTTATGTTGAGATAAGGTGGGGTGAGGTGAGTGAGATGAGTGAGGGGTTATTGTTAATAGTGGTTCGATTCAAGCTTTGGATAGCAACTGAAATAAATAAGCAATGGCTGGGTCGATGTTGCTGTTGCTAATTGAAGTGAAGTACAAGCAAGTGAAGTACGAACAATAATAATTCAAAGTCCGAAAATGGAAAAAGGAAATAAGTACCCAAATATATACCTAGTAGATCCCAGCTAATAGGAATCATCATATGAGATGAACTTCTTGTATGCCTTTTGCATATCCTGTCGATCATTACTTCTTTACTTGAAAACATCGTTAAGTCTCGCCACTTTTCTAAGCAAACATCAATTTATGTGTTTGCCTATCACCATCGTCATGATCCCCAAGGAATACAGATAATATAGCATTGTACAACATACTGTGGGGAAAGTGCAAACCCCTTGTACTCCTTCGTATTGAAGAATCTAAATCCTTCTTTGGGAATCCGATCATGTTAAGAAGTATCTTGATTGGATGATTCATTTTGTATGTCTAGGTAAGGTTATATATATCAAAGCTAGATAGTATCTCGTATTAGTAATATCAAAGTTTATACTCTAAAGCAAATGATATATAATCTATTTCTATCACTAGCAACTACAAAAAGATTATTTGATAGAGTATGAAAAGATTGAAGAAAGCCACAAAACATACACTACTCTGTACAGAATACAGAGTATTGCCAAGCCAATCATGAAACATTCAGTACCTAAAACTATATCTAATAAGGAATAAACGTGGCTGGAACCCCTATTGAATTGGGGCTGATTAACATTAATAACGCCTTTTTCCCCCTAGATCAACAGATTTAATGCTTGTGACTTTTAGGGATCTACAACTGGAGTTACATCCCTACCCGTTAATATACGGGTAAACGCTCGGAAGTACCTAGGTACCGTACGTATTTCGTCATTAATGGATGGGATGTGACTTCATTTTCATTTTTGTGTTGCTTGGTGTTTTTAGTTGTTATAAATGATATGAGTATGATATGATACTCTGAGTATGATATTGAGATAATAAGAGTAGGTCGGATAGGATACTTACAGATACTACAAAAGATACAATCTACTTATTACTTGTATTGTACTCGTATTATATATTAACAATAACAATAGCTGGTAAAGAAACGTCAAATGAATCTTTACACGGCATTGAGTACAGCATATACGCACAATAGTTCTTTCTAAATACAACACGATTCTCGTATCTTCTACTCATAGTCATATTTATACCCATACCCATACACCAAATATAGAATTCCATACTCTCTATCACATTCTCTCTCTCTTTTATAGATACTTTCCAATATCTATATTCTTCTTATCAACTGATCAATTTGAAGATCCGAATAACCAGTTTTCTGGCTTGCCTCATCCGTTTTCTGTACGAGTAGATACGAACGGGTGTACATACGAGTAAGGGGAGAAATGACATACCAGTACTAGATGCTAAAGGTTATTACGAGTATAGTATAGATCTACAAAATTGTACTCTGGCATTCATTACTGAGTACTACAATGATAATAGTCTATCTAGCTATCATTCCAGCCAATTCCAGCAAAGAAATCATACCGTTGGAACTTGGAACATCGTAGACATCATATCTTCCATCTCGGATATATCATCGATAACAATCCAAACATCTATCCTGTATAATGTACAAATACATATCTCCTCGTGTTGACTCATAATATCGGATCTGTTACATCTATATAAAGATACAATTCCAACCCCATACATACATACCGTAACCTCAAAGCATTATAACCATTACTCAGTACACTACATTATCATTATCCAACAATTCCAAATTCCAATACAACACTATCCCCATACCCATCCATTACATTCATCCAGTATACTCGTAATCTACTCGTAGTCCATCCGAATCAATAGCATTTCAACATTCAAATCAGTAGTGGGGTCCCCACCCTCAATCTTCAAACCCAAACCCCAAGAAGCATTAGCCTAGCCCAGCCCAGCCCAGCCCAGCGCTTGCACAATCTTAATTCAACATCCATCTACTCGAGTATATTTACATCTACCGGTAGGTATACCCCTTCTTTCCTTTCATCACGCGGCTAATTCATTTAATTCTTCAAATCATTCCATTATATCACAAGGCAGATATAATCCTACACTTCATTTCCTGAAATAACAACCCTACTATATTCTCTCCTCTTCTCTCTATTATTTACTACTCAGGCTCTATGAAGAAAGGGAACGAAGGAAGAACTTTCTCTTTCTCTTTCTCTTTTTCAGTCCTTTCCATTCCAAACCATTCCATCTTCCAATCCTTACCATTAGTTAATATGAAAAATAAATATAATATAAGTCTCTTATCATCTACTCAGTACATAACTTACCTTACTCGAGTATTACTTTCTGATAAATTCAAGATCATAAGATACAAAAATATCACATCATCAAACATCTATCTATTATTCTCCTCTCAAATACATTAAACATTAAATTAGCTGTGCTACCTACTACTCAGTACACTACCGGTATATTGGATATTAAATTCTCAAGTAATAAGCACCTTGGTATATATATGTCTATTACCTACCCACCTAGTATTCACTCATTATTGCATCAATCATCGATACTATCTATCTGTCTATCTATACTCTCGAATAGGACAATTCTCCATAAACAAGCATGATGAGAACAAGTTCTGACTTGTGATTTATAAGAGGATTTGTTGTGCATAGAGATAGATACATAGTATACCGATACTTTAAACAGTACTCCCTACAATCCAATCCACCAGCGCACATAACATGAGTCCAACGATTCTATTCCAATTCCAACGTAAAATTCTATCCATGGGTCATGTCATATCATATCATATCATATCATACAAAGCTAGAAACTAGAAGCTAAAAGCCATCCCAGCAGTAATTTCTCAAGTCCCGGTCAGTATCAGTATAATCTAGCTACTAGCTACTAGCTACCATTCGAGTAGAAAGTCAAACAACATTTATAACTTTACAAATATAACGTTCCGAGGTTCTGAGGATCAAGAGAGAAGAGAGAAGAGTCGGTACGTGAAGAGCTAGCTGTTTGCTTGTTGGGGAGTTATTGAGGTAAGAGGGAATTTGAAGATGTAATGTAATGTAATGAAATGAAATGGGATGAAGGTTGGAGTTGATATACTGGTAAGTGCAGTGCAAGAATTTCATACTGTTGTATAATACTCGTACATACGGAATGATTGAAATTGAAAATGGAATAGAAATATCGGTTTGGACTGGGAATATTATCAGATAGCACCCAAAATTAATGTACACTCTTTAGCCGAGATCCCTTGTCTCGAGTAGCTAATTCTCGAGCAGAACATCAAATTGTCTTCCAAGATGGTCCATGAAGTATTTGTACTTGCTAACTTTAGTCTCCTTCCCATCTGAAATTTCAAACTCATGAACGCCAATTTGTCCTAATCATAAATCATCGCAATCATCAAAATCATCACCTCCAATATCAATTCAGCATAACAACACACACATTCAACCATCCATCCGCATAACTCGCTTCCCTCATTAATTCTTCCAATACCGCCTTGAAAGGAACCGTTGCCCCATGTAACACAACCTCTGCTAATATGGAATCTCTTCTACTCGGGAATAGACTTGGAAGAATAATATTCAGAGCTCCTCCTAACGTTTGAGGTTCTCGAGATGCGGTTTGTGGTTGTATGAGAGTTTGTATTGTTTTGAATGTGAAGAGTGGTGAAGGTGGAGCAGAAGTACTTGGAGCTTTCGACGAACTCGAAGAAGCCGGATGGGGGGTTGAAGATGGGGTTGAGGATGAGGGAAGATAGATGCGCAATGGGATATGTTTTAGCGGGGTAGCTGGATTTAGGAGAATGGTAGAGATCTTGAGATAGGTGGAGAAATCATCTGCGGGGTGTCAAAGATTAGCTTCATGGGTCATCGTGCATGAATGTTGATAGAGGAAGAAACCATACTATCTTGCACCGAGTTCCATAACTGTGTCGAATTCTCTTTTGACATGCTCATTATACCTTTTGCATTTCCATTGCGTATGAAATCGGCCTAATGTGAATCGTTAGAATACACCTAACATAACAAGGCTGAGCCTTTTATGACTTCAGGAGGTACCTCTTTCACACTATTGATAAACGTATCATGGATATCAAATAATGGGCCATCTCCCAACTCTATCCTCCATGGTAATTCTGGTTGATATAGATCACATAGTAAACCAACTGGAAGATTCTTCAATAAAATTCCTTCATAAGAGAAACTGGTAGCATTCTCCCCAAAGAAAGATGTTAATCGTGGTAAAACGAGCGCCAAGTAAGAAACTCGAGGTATGTTTATTAAGTAAGGTATAGTAGAAGAAGGATGAGTGATATACAAAGGTATACTAGAGGCCCAAATGAGAGATTGCATAACGTAGTTGGCTTCTTCAACACATACCAGTTACCTAGTAGTTAAAAGGAGGGATAAATGAAAGAAGGCTACCAAATTTGTTCAAGCGACTTGACACCCATTAAGGCTTAGCTCCGGCTGACAAATAATGCCATTTGCACAAGGCTGAGACTGGGATTTTGCCGCGCACAGTCTCCCACTTCGGATATTAGGTGATCAGATCTATTTGAACTTTGAGCATTTCTCCAAACTTTAAGTTTTTTTGTTGTATTGTACCGGTAGAGTGGTCGATGATTCCACTCATTCCACTGCTGGTGAGAAAACTCCAAATTAGCAGCGTGAGCATTGAGAAGAAGAGTCCGAACGTGACATAGCATGTTTCTCCGCATTGGTAATACACCGGTCACCTTACGGTCTTCATCACAGCCAAGTGAGCTGAGCAAAGTCTATTCCGATCTTGTTCTTGTTTCAATACTGTACTGTCAGTCGCATTGCCTGATGTTGATTTTGGAGCCGGATTTCAATCCAACTTGGGATCCTTGAAACATCAACATGCGTTTGAAGGGGAGACTACTGCAACCTTATTTGAACAAGAGGCAGGTACATTGTGGGTATCTTCCCGCTCAAAAAGGATGTGTCCTTTCACCAAAGTCATTATCCTTCTATAAATCTTCATGCATTCTAATCTCAATAGGGGTCACTTCCGGGCTGAACTATTTAAGCACCTCCTAACCTTACATCAACCGGACCGAAAGATGTTCCTTATCTCATTGCGTTATCTTCTCCACGAACTAAATCCTTGTTGGTGGTACTGTACTCGAGTAGAGCTTGGACAATGAGTATTTGTCAAACAGGATTCAAAACTCGATATGGAATCTACACGGGATGTCTTATTGCATTACGACTGGCACCATACAAGTGAGAGCATCCATCGAGGCAATTTGAAAGTATCGACAATAATGGACCAAAGTCTTGACAAGCTATCTCCGCAGGACTACTCGTTAGTCCTTACAGGGCTAGGTACAAACTACTAAGAAATGTGGACATCGTAGAGCATGCATAATTCACGAGTGTTTACAAGATAGGTTGTTCCCAATTGATTATCCGGCACACTTCATGCACGGTCACGGCTAAAAGCTGGAAGTTGGGACGGTTCTTCTTTCCTAAAATTCACATGGCACATAAGCTTCTTCCTATTCCGTCCAACCTTTGGTCTGTTGATCGCGGGACAATTGTGATATCGTCTTAATTCCGACATTATTAGCAAGGAATAATTGTGAAAGCTCGAAATGCTTCCTATTATGCAGTCTCTTCAGATGTGATGTTGCGCACAGAAGAATTAGTGACATTACTGTAAGTAACATATTACTAAAAGAATCAACTGAGCAAGTGCCACTAGTTATATCTTTCAAACAGCAACATCCCGTGAGAGTTCAGTGGGGATTGATTTACACGTTCTTTAATAATATGCGAAACCCTAGTTTAGACTCTAGACTCTAGAGATAATCTGAATTTATCATTGCGGAAAACTTTGCGGCTGGTAAATTACAGTGTCTCTTCTAAGACACTGATATTCCAATTCATCTTCTCCCTCGGGACCTCGTCTCGTTCTATGTTCATGGTATCCCGCAATCGCACATCATTCGTATCCTTGCTTCTCACGTTTCTCAGATTGAACAAGGGGTATGCCCTCTATTAATCCGTGATATGATGAGATCCTGGGCTCTTGGGCTCTTGGGCTCTGGGATGGAAGAAGTCTTCCAGAAGAAGACAAATGAATGGTCTTGGTCCGAACTGGGATCTTTCCTTGCTCGAGATAGGAAGGTATTGAGATAATCGTGCCCCATACCCTGTCGTTGGGAACTCATCGCACTGATCGCAGGGAGTAGTAGGAGGGTATGTTCAACCTTTTGCTTGAGTATATTTGATCTGCAACTTGTTACAAAGCTATATGCAGGTCATATGTAAAGTCCAGACTCCCCAGTAAAGCATGAACATTTGTTCTCCCTTGGTTTTTCTTTTTGCTTAATTTTACTTTAGAGACCACATACTTTTCTAGCACTAAGAGTTTATTGCCTGAATACTAGATAGGCATGAACCTGCCTGTATGTTGACCTAAATGCAAGTCCTACTATCACCACCCTTCCAGAGTACCGAATGGGCACCGGGATACCACAGGAGGCCGTAGGTGCCTCTGCCGCTGTCCTGGTATACTCGTCCATATGCCTTTCGTTGGCTATCTTGCTTGTTTGTATGTTATGGACCTACGGTGAACGATGGACTTGTAAGTTTCCTATCTCATGTTTGCGTGAATGTATCTAACAAATACAGATGTGACATTCCTCGCCAAGTTTTCTGCACTCAGCACCATTGGATCCATCGCACAGCAGATACATTACAATCTCGCGTGGCTCCATGTTAAACATGATGACTATGCGATGGCTTTAAAAGCTGTAGACATGCCAGCTTTGGGGTTTTCGGGTGTAGGTAATACTGTTGATCTTGTATTATTTACGATTCGTAAGCTCCAATCCCAATTTTGCCAATATTGACCATTGCTAAGATCTTGCGCAGAATTTTACTCTTATAATGTCATGGCTCTAATGATTATTTTTTGGTAAGTATGTTCAAATCCAAATGAGTTGATCATCGAGAGCTGACAATAATTAGGGCTGTAAAGCTCTTCTGTGGCTCCTGGGAAATCCGTGCCAACTTCCTTGGTAGCTGGCTGCGAGAAAATATATCTTTCATCTCCAAAATAGTCGCAGTCATAGCTCCCGCCATTCTCGTAGGATTCGGACATGCCCCGGTTGTGCTAAAAAGCCTGGCGGCGACTTTGATCTTATCTACCTTCACAAGTAAATCATCTTTGGATAACCCTTTTCTCTTGGTTGTGGGCGTAGGTTCGAAATTCGAGCTGACTTTGTGATATTAGTGCTCGTCAGCTTATCGCTTGGTAGCATTCTCATGGTTCTTATTCTCTACAAATATATTAAAACCCGACGACTTCTTTTTGCACACGAGAAACGCAACGGTTGGTGGGGTTCGAGCAGTATAGCGACAGTGACAGACACAACAGGAACTGGCACTGGAAATGGAAATGGTACTGGAAATGGTACTGGCAATGGTAACCAAATATCAACTCGTCAGTCTCTTTACGATCGTGCACTTATAACCCGTTTCACTATCGGCTTCGTTATACTTTTGTGAGTTTTTTTGGTATCTCTAATTCTAGAGTGAAAGGAGGATAAGCTGATGATTTTCGCAAAGGGTACTTGAAGTCGTATTAATCATCTTTTGCTTGTTCTCCGAAAGCAACTTTCAAAAGCTTGCTAAATCATCGTCTCCCGACTTATCCATCTCCGGGGCCATCACAGACATTTTCCTCTTTGTCCCTGGAGTTTCGACGTCATTATTAATATTTCTCGTGTTCGGGACCGCCAAATCTTTCGGTCAATACAGAGACTTAATCGTTAGTGGATGTGGTCACCGTACAAAATTCCCTCAAAGCAAAAGAAGGGGTGTTATGGGATCTAGAGATGAAGAACAGGGTGCCGAGTTTCAAAGATTACCTACCATGGCAACTGAAGTCCTCACACCGGAACAAGCAGTGCTAAAAGCTAAAACGCGAGGCATATCACCTGACCAACGAACATCCGTCGGGACACAATATACAACACATACGATCCAAACGGGGAAAAGTATACCAGAATCATCAGTGCACACTCATACGCGCACTTTGAGTCCCATAACCGCCAAATTCAATTTCAGCCGTCCAGCTTCATATAGAAACGAATTTCGATCCGTGATACGCGAGGAGGAACGTGTTGCAGGGGAATCATGGGCGAGGCAAAATGATTTAGAAGATGGATTGGCGCTGGAACAGCAATGGAATGATAATGGATATAGGAGGGAGAGAGTTTCAGCGAGAAATACCACCGCGGGGAATACTACGGTTCATAGATATCCCGATTCGATGTTCCATCGGGATTTTATTTTGGATGATAGTGATGAGCATGGTGAGCATGGTGAGCATGAGGGATGGACGAGATGAATGGGTAGATGGATAGGATAGGGATTCTAATGATTTTATGATGATTGATACCTTTGGTTCCGGAGTGTTCATTTATATCGGCTGTGTCTACTGTATATTTTAGGAAGTAAAGGGATACATACTAGGTACATATGGGAAATACTGTTACATAGGCTGGATGAAAAAATATCAAAAACAATTCAAAAATATCCCCTATACCTATAGAACTTATTATATACATCTTCGGTATAAGGTTAATAGTTAAAACCATCACATGCAAGTTGCAATTGAAGATCAAAAGAAACAATTTACAAATAGGCAATCGTACCCGAGCTTCGGAGATATACCTCGTGTTTATTGGCATGGTAGTGGCAAGGTAGTTGGCAGTTGGCAGTGGCACTGACATCTTCAACGTTAACCAGCCAGTTGGGTTGATACTTGTATAAATCAGTCAATTCGAATCAGCCCCTGTAAATAAATGCTCAAAGGGGTTGGTTATAAGTGCCTGTTAATTTCATTAGTTGTCAGGGATTAGAATTGAGGTTTCTATTATAGTAGAGCCAATTCTAATTAGCCCTGATTTAATTGAAGTGTAAATGCTACTGGCTTTTACCTAACCTTATGGCCAGACCCGGAAATGCCTAAAAAGTAACCTCGGCGTTTTCATTCATTATTCATCGTATCGGCCCTATGTTCCTCCGCGCCTCGGTAAGTTATTGGACCCATGTTCATTATTTCAACAATTTATTTGCTAGGTATGTATGTATATGTGACTTGTCTACTCAGCATTGTTTATTATCGATATTAATTGCGAGGTTCGGTCTGGTATTACTGTCATTTTCTTTACTTTGTGTTTGAGACTGAAACAATTCTTTCTTGTGCGGGTTCACTTACTGGTACTCTCTTTACTTGTATATTCAATTCCCTTTCATAGGTTCATCAGTTCATCACCTCGTATACTCGCAAGTTCCAAATCCTGGATAATGGCGTCCGCAACTCGTCTCCCTCTCAAATCCATACTCTTCACTACGGCAGTGGTAGCTGCAGCAGGTGCTTCTCATGTAAATTTACAGAATCTGCTTGTCGATACTTTTACCGGGCCAGGGAGTTACTCCCGGATTGCTGCTACAGTTGTCATATTAGCGAATCTGAAGAGTTTGCCGGGAGTTTGGCATGTATATTTCCCCCTTACATTCCTTCTCCTCGAGGAGCATGCCAATTAACAAACCCACAGATCCGAGTCTGGAACGCCATTCTTAAACATCTCATCTTCACCATCCCCAACATCCCCTCCAATCTCGGCCCTTCATCTCTCTTTCTCCCCGTCATCACCACCTCGCATGCTCCCCTCTGGGAATGCGATTACAATCTTCACAAATCCAACAGCACCTATTTCTCGGACCTCGACGTCACGCGTTCCCATATCATCTGCTGTCTGCTCGAACCGGGTATCCACGCTTTACAGCAGAATCTCACGAAGAAATTAGTGTTGGATAAAAATGGCAATGCGGTGAAAGGGCGCTGGGGAATCATGCTCGGAGGCGTCATGTGTAATTTCAAGCGCGAAATCGGCATTTATCAAAGCTATGAAATGTGGAGTCGAGTGCTGTGTTGGGATCGCAAGTGGATATATGTGGTTACGCATTTTGTGAAGAAGGGGACAGTGAGACCTAGGGGGTTTGTACTGGGTGATGGATCGTGGTTTGGAGGGGGCAATGCGAGGTTTGAGGAAGGAGAACAAGGAGATGCAGTTGAGGTGGATGAGAAGGCCGTTTTTGCAAGCGCGGTTAGTAAATATGTGATGAAGTTGGGTCGCTTAACCGTTCATCCAGAGGTGGTGTTGAATGCTAGTGGAGTGCTTCCAGAGAGGCCGGGAGGCTGGCATAGTATGGATGATTCGGGGGCGTCGACGCCGGATATGGATATGGAGGGGTCGTTTGTGGATGCTGAGCTTGAGGAAGAGGGAAAGGAAAGTTCGAATGAGTGGGATTGGAAGAGGATTGATAGGGAGAATAAAAGGGGACAACAGTTTGCAGAACATATTGCTGCGATGGAGGGTTTGCATCAGGAATTTTCTGGGAGCCAGGCACCGGCGTTGGGCAAATATAGAGATTTGTTGTGATGCTATTTAGGGGTATTTGAAGGAAGCGAGGGATAAAGGAAAGGTTTATTGATGTATAATTTTGGAATAGATTAGATTAGACGGAATTAGATTAGACTACATTAATTTAGAACAAGTTAGATGGTATAGAAGTACAGGGGTTAATATAGAAGAAGAAACTCATCAATATAAATATTCATCAAGCCCGGACGGGTGTGCAAGGCACACCTCCTTTTTATTCTCATTACACATCACTCATTACACTCCTCAAGCGAGATAAACAAATCATCACAACATACAAAATACATAAGTTCTCTCTCTCATAGAGTACTGTAATGGCATCATGGTATGTGAAATGAATCCTAGCAGTCTAGTAGGTCTAGCGGCTTCACATCAACTATTACTTGGAGGGCTAGAGATGTCTTTATATTAATCTTATAATCTTATAATCTTATAAGGAATTGTGGTATATAGAGAGGAGAGAGAGAGTGTAGAGTAGAGAGTATGGAGAGAGTATAGAGAGAGTATGTAGAGAGTATGGAGAGTAGGGAGAGAGTATAGACTGGAGCAGAAAATTCATGGAGATACTTTGGTTTGGGTTTGGGTTTGGGTTTGGTTTGTTGGTGGTTTGTTCGTGGTTTGTGGGGTGGATGGATGGGTATTTGGGTGGGTATTTGGGTGTGGTGTTGTGTGGTTTTGTGCTGTGGGGACTGTTTGGGGATCCTGAGATTTTTGGGAGTGGAAGGGAGAGAGAGGGAAATCGGTTTTTATGGGGGGTGTTGGTGGAGAGTGGGTATGTGGATGGCGATGGAGATAGGGATAAGGAAGAGATACTAAAAGCTCAACTTTTCCACTATCTTTGGAGGGGCAATTTTGAGTTCCAGTTCCAGTTTTCGTTCTAGTGATACAACAAAACCATACTATTCGAGTCTAGAGTCCACGATGTTAACAGCATAAAGTTCAATAAATGAGTGTACTGTAGAGTTTTATGTGAAGATATGCTTGTGGAGATTGTGGATGGATGGATGATATTTACTGGGTATGTCATTCATTCATTCATTCATTCATTCATTCATTCATTCATCCATGCATGGGATAGAGAATATTTGGAATTTGAAAACCCCTGATGCCAATATAAAGAGAACGGGATATGGATATACAGTTCGATATATGATGTATCAAACATATATAATAATCAAGCTCGCGCAGTTGAGACTTGAAACCCAAATATCTACATTTTGAGCAGAACATGCTGTTGTACTATCTTTTAGAAAATCATCATGTTCTATATTTCTCGTTTCTAGATAATTACCGGTATGGTCATGAGATATTTTGGTTAAGGAGTTCCAGGAATCATTTATAGATAATTGTACGAGTAAAATATGTTAATATAAATGTAAACGGATCATCTCGCAAGTTCAGTAATTCATCCATGTGATGCCGCTAATGCATTAGATAGGGGAATCGAGGGGAATCGAGGGGAAGAGGGATATGAGAGAGGTGTGGATATAATATATTTGCATCTCGCGAGGAAAACGCGTGGGACCAATGCTAGATAAATATATATTATGAGGATGAAGTATAATGTGGAGTATGACTCTACACTTAGCAAATAGATGCAGGTTAACAGTTCAACCCGAGCATGTATAGAAAACTAGATCCGACCCGGTAAAAGTCTATAAGCATGTGTAACGACATATCTCTTTCTCCTTCAACCAATCTATCTCACCTGTGATTACTTCTTTTGAGCTTCATGATATAGCATAGCACTGGCGCTCCAAACCTTTCTTAACCTCTACTTTCATCCTCGTAATCTTACAACTTGAAAACAAAAGCAATAACCCACACAGTGTTTCTGTGTTTCTGTGACAACTTAAAAGGTAGCGTTACAGCTTCGCCTAAACACGCGAGACTCTCTTAGCTTATATAACTCTACTTTCATAGCTCAATAAGAATAACAACTAATCTATATCTAATCTGAATTCATATGATTAAGATCTATAGCAACATTGTCTATCCGAACTCAATACACATTCATTAAGTCTTATTTCTTACTTAACTAACTTAATCGAAGACTCTTAGACGATTACTCACTAGGCCTTCAATCAATTTTTGTTTTATATCTTTAAAGAGTATATTATTACTACTAGTTTTGGTTCCAATAGATATTCAGTAGCTAGAAAGATTAGACGAATCTTTCGAGTTATTAACTTATTATTATACTTTTATAATATAATTATTAGTAGACTAGTATTTTATATTTTTTAAGATATACTAGTAGTTATAATATTAAAGTAGTAGTACTTACTAGATAATCTACTCGTATAAGTTATATTATATATCTATAAAACCGATATAGGCGTTAGCTCTTTACTTAATTCATTCGATCAATATATCTTTAAGTCTTTTCTTAGTTAATTATATATATTTAAGCTATATTATCTCTAATTCTATATCTACTTCTATTACTCGCTAGACTAATAGCTATTAATCTTCAAGTTCGAACTATTTAGTAGTAGCTTATTAATAATTACTACTATAAATAGAATACTTATTAATAACTTGAACTAAAATAATCAAAATAATATCTTTATAGATCTTTTACAAATAGATTAGATTAGACTAGACTAGACTAGACTATAGCTTGGTATTTTATTTATATATTCGCTAATCTAGTAATATACTATTTAAGTTTACTCACTCGCTAATCCTTAACTCAAAGGACTCTGGGTCGAGTACTTATCTTCAAAATGATAAATAATAAATACTACTCATCAATACTCGAGTATACTCATTAATATAACTCAACAACCTCAAGATCTTCGCTTCCACCCTCTCACCCCCTCCCCACTTCCCCCCCTTCTCCTCTTCAATATATACATCTACTCGTACACTCACCCACTTCACCAATAATCAAACCCAAAACTCCAAACCTCCTTACTACGAGTATATATAGACTTTAGTCATATATTCAAACAATAATTTAATAGTTTAAGAACTCCTCAATCTCTTAAAGTTTCAAGTTAGAGACTCGTATATCAAAAACCTATTTTACTCGTATATACAACTTACAAGACTACGAACGAGTAAGTTTTGAATTGATGTAAATTGAATAAATAAAGGTTAAAGATTAGGAAGTATACGAATTATGTTATACTCCAGAGGAGAGGAGAGGATAGCTGGCTGGATTGAAGATGAGTCTGGTAATTTACTGTATGCGGCATATAGAGTATAAAGGGTAATTATGTAGAGTATATAGAGTAGAGTAAAAATATATCGATTGCCTATCGTAGCGTAGGGTTAAATACCTTATTACCTTTATACAATGGTTTGTCTGTCCATCCGTCCGTTCATCCACCTGTCATGAGTCATATTATATTATGTTGTTATAATATATTAGAAACCCGAAACTCCTCATTCGCATTCGAATTCCCATCATAAACCCAAATATATATCCATGCATGCACACCTCTCATCCCCCCTATTTTCCCACCCCCCCTACAAACCTCCCACCCCACTATCCTGACTAGCGACCCTTTCCCTTTCCCTCTCTCTCTCCCTCTCCTTCTTCCTCCGATCCACCCTCCTAATTCTCCTCCTTTGAATCACCTCTGCATCCCAAGTCCCTGCAAAGAGCTCTTCACATTCATCTTCATCTTCTGAATCAAAGTGCACCCATCCACTTGCCTCTTCTTCTTCTTTGGTTTCTACTTCTAGTCCCCTAGCATCACCTCCTCTACCCACCCTACCAACCGCACCAACCCCACCTACCCCTCCTCCACCCATCATCCCCTCACACCCACCTCCTCCATCCCCACACTTATAATCCCAACTATGCGGCACCACATCCTCATCCTCATACGTATGCACCACCACCACCCTCTTCGTTTCCAAAATAAACTTTCCAATCTTATACCTCTGACCCGCCTCCCTCGCATCCACATATTTCCACCCCAACAACGTATTGCAAACCGCGCAATTCACATCGGCAACCACATGATGCCCTGTTAATAATTCTCGGTTGACAGCTCGTCCAATGCGGATGTTCGAGAGGTTTTTCGATCGATCGTGCGCGGTGGGGGGGAAAGGCGGGATGATGGGGACAGGTGTAGGAGGCGGTGGTGCTACGAGATAGGCGCGCCCGTGCCGGCCGGTGAAGCCTTTGGATACGATTTGGGATGTGTAGGAGAGGTGAGTGGAGCAGGTAAGACAGCGGATTGTGGAGGGGTGGGGTCGGGTTAGGTGCGCTTGAGGGGGAGAAGATGCTTGGGGTTCTGGGGATGTGCGAGATCGTGAGGAGGGGCAGAGTGGGTAGGTGGATTCATTATGTTTCGTCTTGGTTTCTGTGGCCGAGGAGGAGGAATATGTGTGAGTAGGGAAGTGTTCGAAAGTAGGTGATGCTATGGGCGTATTGCTATAACTACTTGTAGGTGAGTGGCTTAACCCGGGAATCGAAGCGCTCGTATTTGTATTGAGTGATGCTGCTGTGCTGGAAGAAGTGGAGGTTTGACGACGGCGAAAGGGGAAGGAGAAGGAGGGGATGAGGTAGGTTGGGAATGTTAGGCGTTCGTTGGACATCTCTGCGAGTCCTACGAGCTAGTTGTCATAGGAGGTAGTTGTCATAAGAGGTAGTCGTCACAAGAGATTGTGTCGTGTATTCAAATATTCTCATATATGATGTTATGTTATCTGAAAGTGGGGAGTTAGAAAAGATGCGATGAAAAACCATGAGCGCAAACGGATAGGGAATGAATGGTGGAAATAGGTAAGTAAATAGAGCTAAAACATCCATAGCATAAAGCACAAAGAGTCGCGTGTGAAGGTCTTAAAAGTAAGACTCTTTGCGCAACGGGAATGGATGGCATGACACTCACTTATTCATGCACAAGACACTATGTTAATATTGGCATTTGATATGTTAGTATGAACGGATTAGATTGATTGTCTATCTCTGGGATCTCTGGGTTATATCAGATGCTCAGATAGATTAGATACACCGATAGAGGATATATATTTAGTGAGGTGAAGGGGGGGAAATTGAGGTATTTACATGAACAAAATAACCTCATAGTTCTTGAATATCATAAGCAAAGGTATGGTCGATCCGATGTCGTAAGGCAGGGAAATAGTATTGCACTGTGACATGTGAAGTGATGTGCCGGATTAGACAACCGAATTACTTAATCCAGTACTTGAGAGAACCATACTTTTTCCACTTTACTTACAAATAGATACTTGTTCGAGTTGTGCAGAGATGTGTTGGCTTTGTTGTGCCTCCGCTTTGCATGTTGCATGTTGCGCCGGCAATGGAACTATCTAGATTTCTTATCGATAAGCTGATTGTAAGGATTGCTTGTAAGGGGGTTGCTACTATCATCGGATTGTTTTTAGGTGATTATCATGAAGATCTTTTATGTTTTCAATAGATAGATGACTGACTGACTTTCATGGATACCTTCATATAGTTCGAATTCAATGTTTTACATGATCTATTATTCGATTGTCCCTCCCACAACACAACTCGGTGATTCGTTCAATGCTATGAACCTCGGTTAATGGAAACCTAACTCCTCCTCCATTTCCGGACCAATGTGATGATAACAAATCATGATGAGTCTAGATGCTCAGTAGAAAGGTTGAACAGATCACATAATGCATGCATACAACATACATACCTAGGTGGTCAAGTGGTGATTGCTCTTCGTGGAGTATGGTGACATCCGAAGACACAGTGTTGTGCTTGAGTTTCGAAACAGCTCATAATATTGTGTTTAAGTGATATTCCGTCTGTGTACCTAGGTAGGTAGGTATGTTTAGTTCTAGGTTTGGTTGGCTACTAGGTAGGTATTGTATCAGTTATATACAAGTAGATAGGAACAGAAGGATTAGCCATCTCATTCGAAGGATTTGAGATAATGTGATCATCAGAATCAACCATTTAGGGGTTTCCTTGTTACGCCTTAATACAATAATCAATTTTGTACACAACAGGATTCAATCCTTCCCTTAGAAACTTCTAATTGGTTAATGTATTGGCGGTTGTGTTGCTTTTGTGAAACATCGTGATTGGTTAAAACTGACTCACGTGGTTCATTTCATGAGCGGGGAACCGACTTTTTTGCTTTGTCAAATCCAGGTTGAAAGAAAAAGAGCCTCTCCCTTCCACTCACCGATCAGCAAAATAAAACTCCCCCAACCCCAACGAGAAGTACCTCGCAATAAGAAGTCCAACTTATTAAAATCTCACAAATATCGAAATATCAAATCTTCGCACAATCATACATTCGCACAATCATCATCGTATTCAAATCAACTTTCGACTTAAACTCAAATTTATCCCCAAACCCCTCACACCGCAAAGCTGGCAATTTTCGAGAAAAATGGCTCCAAGTATGAAAAACAGTAACAGTAGTAGTAATTGTGGCGGCGAGGTAGTTGGCAATCAAGCCAACGTCCTCGCCAGCTGCTACATCGTCGATTCTTCCGCTCGTCTTTCTGGATTCCATTACTCCACTACCGGCGCTGGCGGGTTAGTTTCTCCTTTTCCGCTCAAGTGAATCCAACACTCGCATACATTCCAGGATCAATACTAATATTTCCAACAGGGCAAAGTGGTATCCCTGAGGTCCGCTCAGGGTCAATTTCCCCTCCGTCAAGCCCCCCTCTTGCGGCCTTGACATCTGCCAACGAATTCGCGTCCATCCACAACTCATCGAAGAAACGAGATTCGCGAGGCAGAACTACCAGCCGCAAAGAGGGGGCAGCGTACGCCATCCGGGAAGAGTGTGAGAGACTCTTCTGCGAGAACATGAAAACCATTTTCCTTGGTGAAGAAGGAAGTGCGAGTAATGACTCAAGCGTGATGGGTGCGAACACGTATTCAAGTCTTGATGATGTGGATACGCATGATGATTACTTTGGTGACATCAAATCAGGCCATGCAATCGATGCTTGGGTCGAGATTTGGGACTATACTGGGGGATGCAGTTTTCGAGGATTTGTTGGCGGAATTGGAGATGAGAAAACACTTTTTGCATTCTTTGATAGCTCGGTCATTGGAAGGGATTTGAAACAGGGGTAAGGATTACTGTTATTGTAACTACGATTTACATTGCTAATGGCTATAGACTTATCGCACTCATCGAACTCGCGGAGGAAGTCTTCGCAGTCTCGCAAGTGGTTATTTTTGTTGATCGATCGATTCCGGAAGGAGATAGGTCAACATTTCTCAAGAGCCTTCGTTGGGTCGGATTCGAATTGACAACTTTGGACATGTGGTCGCATCAACTGGATACCACGAGCAACAAATGGTTATTGATGGGATTGGAGGTTTGAGAGGTATTTGATGGATGAAGGGATGGTAGGATGGATGGATGGATTAATGGGAAACAAATAAGCAAGGTGCTAGGTGGATATAATCTTTAGGGGCGTACGGTTATACATTACCTCCTGCAAACAAGTTATTCATTGCTGGGCTTCGTGGCGTGGTATCTTGTTTTCTTGATTAATTCATGGGCAGTTTGAGGAAATAATGGAAGCACATTTGTAGGTGGGAATCTTTTCTTTCGGGGTCCCTTTTAATATGGATAGGGGCATCTCCTTTCAATTTCAATTTCAACATAGGCTGTCAAAAGTCAAATATTTTCAAATATCAAATATATTCAAATGCCAAAATATGAATGGTTGATTAGGCAAATGTGCATTCTTCTCAGTGAAATATCAAAATATTACAGAGTACTTTGCACCCGGAGCATATCTCCGAGCATTCCCCAATGAGGCGTGGCCTTTTGCTTCCTCCTCGGCTTCCCTCCTAAGTGAGTGCTCACTTCTTTTCTTTTTCGCCACATACTACACGCCACATGCCACGAAACGAAACGAAACGAAACCAAAATCTTGATTTCAAATCTGGCCTTGTTTTTGCTTTTGCTTTGCTTATGAAGGAGGGAGGTATCTCATGTGGCTAGAACCAGAACGAAAGTCCGTACGGGAAGTAGAGAAATTACTAGGTAGGTGGGGTGGTAGGTAAGTTTTGGGATGGGATAATAGGATGATGGGGTTGTGGGGCTGTGGGGTTGGGTTTTAGAGGGGAAGGGGGAAATGGGGAAAGGGTGGCGGCGATTAGGATTTGGATTTGGGGGATGGATTTGGATTTGGAGTTTGGAAGGGGGGATGGGGGATGGAGATGGGGGATGGAGATGGGGGATGGAGATGGGGGATGGAGATGGGGGGATAGGATGTTAGGTGTGAGTGAAATACCTAGATAGATATTGGGGTGTTGGTTGTGGATATATTGAGGGATAAGAGGGTTTGAATAAAGAAGAAGGCATGGCAAGACTGTTACATAGTGTACAGGTAGGTAGGTACATGTGGATTGCATGTGGTGTTTCATAAGGTTGATGGGTTGATGGATTGGTAGATAGATAGACAGATACCTAGATATATCTTGAGTTACCTAACTTATGGATTTGGGATGGTTGATATTGATATTGATATTGTATTTGTACTATCAATGACAGATAAATGAATCCATACCGTATTATAATTCTTGAATCTTAAGGTTCTGAAAAGAAGAAGGATGATCTATCTCTCTACCTAACCTACCTACTTACCTACCGGTATACTCGGTCACTACTCTGATATGACCTCATTATTCTTCTTGTAGATACTTTGTACCGGTACTACCGGTACTAATTGATTGAATTAAGTCGATACTCGAAACTCGAAACTCGAATGCTTATTGGGATTTACTTGTTTTTATTCAGCTGAGGTTGATGATTACTTATTTCTGTGAGCTGTTTGTTGACCTAGGTACTTACAATTAGCTATATAGGTAGTTGGTGATGGATATTAAATACCTAGGAAGATACCGGTACTGAGTACAAACATTTCCCCTCATTTCTATCGAGGTAAATAAGTAGGTAAACCAAAGGTAATACTGGTCGGTACCTAGTAGATATTGCAATAAATATATCGGTGCTAATAACTAACACCGATAATTTAACCTAGGTATCTATCTTTTGTTCAAAATGAATTCTAATTCTAATTCTAATTCATAATTATTTGCCTCTTTCTATTCTATTCTATTCTACTTGATAGGTTATCATACAAATTCACTAAAATCTATCAGATTCACTACCAAGGTACAGAGAGGATCATATCAGTCGAAGTTGCTCTTTAACAGTTTGTTTCCACGTACCTACGGCAGCCTTGCTTAGTGATTGGTCTACTTGAATCCAAGTTCGTTCTCGTAAGCTAACCCCGATCTCTTTACACCTACATGAATCCCCCCTCTCCATTCATCCATCCATCCATCCATTTCTTCTACACATCACATCAATCAAACACCTACTTCAATCCACAATATTTACGATAAACAATCCTTTGATAATAGATTAAAAGGATATCTCATCTATCCTTTGATCGGTTCTTACTTTTATTGATACTTCGAAGAAGAATCGAAGATAAAATATTCAAAGAACTGATTGCAATATCAGATAGATAGATAGTAAGTTGATTCTTTTGAGATGTTCGTTCGCTCACTCTTAACTCCCTTGCATTGTCACCGCTCTCGACCATATTTAATCATTCACTGTTGGATACTTACTGACAAACGATAATTTTCAATAGCCTTGATAACTTCAATCATGGCATCAATCCCAGCAACAACTCCAGATACTATCATTACTCTCAAGGTTAATATTGAGGGTAGCAATAGAAGATTCAAGCTTCCTCTTCGTGATCTCGGTGCTAGTTCTCTCCCCGATAAGGTATGTGATAACCTCAATTTAATTTACACATTGATAGTGTTTATTCACGATAGAACGTGACGATCATTTGAACACAAGGCTAATCATTATCATCAACTACATAGCTTCGTTATCTCCTTGCCATCCCTCCCACTTCCGAGGCTATCTTCGAGAGATACTCTGATAGCGCTGCTGCCTTCGTCGTCCTCGATGCCGCCAATCCTTCAGTTTACAAACAGTTGTACCGTGCTGCCAAGGCTAAGCTCAAGCTTAGACTCAAGGTGACCATCACGGATAAAGAGCCGGTGATGCCAGAGCCGGTGATGCCAAAGCCAGCAACTGTCGAGGACGAAGAACTCGCTCCGGTCAAGCCCGAAGTACAGCCCACAATCCGCTCACAAATTTTGTGGGATGATGCGGCAGCTGGAACAGACACACAAATATATGGTCGTCTCGACAACGCGGACGCTGGAAGAGACATGCAAGAATTCGTTAGTCCCGAGAACAAAGATTTCACGGACGCTGGAAGAGACACACAAGATTCCGCCGAGAAAGAAAAAGAAATTCATCAGGCAATACCTTGGACTTCTGTGCAACAGTCATTCGATGAATTGTCTATTGGTACCGGTGCTGCTCATCCTTCGTGTGGCGAAACAAAGCGTCCAGCAATTCAGCCCATGAGCACGTGTGAACCTACGTCACAATCACACCTATCAGATCCTGGCATGAGTAGCCCCGAGCAGCGGGAACGCTTCTATTCCCTTTACTTTCCTCGAGAAGAGAGAGATCGTCCTGTACACATTTGCAAGCCTTCAGCTTTTACGCTTCCCAAGTCAGCACCTCCCGCTTGCGCGTTCTCCGTCTACTGCAATAATTGCAGTATGTCTATCCCAGATGTACATTATCATTGCAGCACCTGTGATGATGGTGATTTCGACTTGTGTCCATCGTGTAACGATAGTGGTGTCTCGTGCCATGGTGATCATTGGTTGATCAAACGTATCGTTGACAAAGGCAAATACATCCACAGCACAACGGAGACTCTCGCCCCGAAGAAACAATTCGCTGACTCCAAGACTACCCTCGTCGCCCCTGCCGCCGAAGAGGACAGAGCAGCCGGACCTCATACTCGCACTTGCAATTCCTGCATCACAGAAATGTTCGAGGAGCACTTTGTCACTTGCACCGATTGTGAAGATTTCGACTTGTGCATGCTGTGCCATGTAGGCTTGAAGCATGGTCACAACCCCAAACACGCCTTCGCTTTCGTGGACGAGGATGTCAATCACGATTTAATCGCTCGTGTTCTTCTTGCCCCAGGTCGAAATTACTCTCACTCTGCTGTTTGTGATGGATGTGAGAAAAGTATCTTTGGTGTTCGTCACAAGTGCCTCGATTGCCCAGATTGGGATTTCTGCAACTCGTGCATTGCAAATGCTAGCTTCATCCACCCTCGTCACAGATTTGTCCCTCTCTACGAAACCATGAACGCTGGTATTGTTGCTCGACGTCAAAATGCCAAGGTTCGTCATCATGGAATCTTCTGTGATGGTCCTCTTTGCAATCGCGTTGGTGACTCCATGAGCGCTTATATCACTGGAGATCGCTACAAATGTGCTGTCTGTCACGACACCGATTTCTGTGCTAGCTGCGAGGCTAGTCCATCCAACCCACATAATAAGACTCATCCTCTTATCAAGTTCAAGACACCTGTTCGCAATGTTAGTGTTACTACTCTCGGCGATCATCCAAATGGTAAAGCTATGCCACCAATGGGTGATCGTCGTTCTGATAGTCTGACTACTTCCAAGGCAACTGAGACCACCCCAGCTCAATCCATCAATGCTGCCACCCAAGTTCAAACAGTTGCTGAGGTTAAACCTACCGAAGTCAAGACTGAGGAGCCAACCAAGGTTGAGGCGGCTGATGAAGTTGAGAAGCCAATTGAAGTTAAGGAGGCAGCTCAAGTTGAGGAGGCTGTTGAGCAACTTTCAGCACCCGCTGATGAGGTGATGATTGCACACTTCGTCCGTGATGTAGTCGCTGATGGTACCATCATGCCCCCAAACACAGTCTTTGAGCAAACCTGGTACCTCCGCAATGGTGGTAAGACATCTTGGCCTGCAGGATGCAGTGTCAAATTCATCAATGGCGTTAACATGTGTGCTGTTGATCCAGATCACCCGGCCAGTGTACATGAACTTGTGAGCGCCGCTGAAAGCACCATTTGCTATACTGAACTTGCTCCCGGCCAAGAATACGGTTTCACTGTCTTGATGAGATCTCCCAGCCGCCCTGGTAACTACGTCTCATTCTGGCGCACTTCCACTCCTGATGATGACAAATTCGGTCACAGACTTTGGTGTGATATCACTGTCAATGAGCCAACTCCAGTCATCAAGAAAGAACTTTCCATGCGCGATCTAGTGGATTCTGCTGTTGTAGAAGATGCCACGGTTGAGTCTGATTTCAGCGCCAATGCTGCCACAACCAAGGCGGAGGGTAGCCAAATGATCTTCCCAAAGCTTGACAAGGAATCTCCAAGCTCAAGCGTTCATAAGGAAATGGAGGAAGCCCAACAAGCACCAGAAGAGGTGTCAGCTGCTGAGGAAATCTTTGATGATGACTTTGAGGACTTTAATCAAAACCTTGAGGTTAATGAAGCTGAGGATGGATTCATGACTGATGAAGAGTATGATATTCTCGATGCTAGTGATGAGGAATACCTCGCCGAACAGGAGTCAGCATCTAAGAAGTAAATGCATCGCCTGGAGAAATTGTATTGGGATAAAGTTGATTACATAGGCAAATGGGAAGGACGTGGATGAATATGGCGATGGGAAGTACGTAGATGGATTTGGCGATGGGAATGGGGATGAATTATCACGAATATGGTGGGCGTAAGATTGACACAAACAAGCTCTGGATAGCGAATGGATCAAGGGAAATGATGGAGCTTTGGGGGGTTTTACTTGATTTGATTTGGGGGGGGGGGGCGGAGGGGAAGGAAGGATCTATCTCACTCGTTGCCTTTTTTTTTAAATTGCGTCTTCTCCTTTGGGCTTTTTTTTTACTTTCTTTTACTACTTTTGATCATCTGTGATGATATTTTTTTCCCGCAAGAAATCGCAAGAAAGGTCTCACACATGGTTGATTGTGATGGTGGTTGCATTGGTGCTTTACTATTAGGCAGGAATAATCGGTTTAGGAAAGTAAATTGATTTTAAGAATTCTCTTCTCAATTATTGACTTTGAGATTTAATGATATATGATGATTGATGTTGGGGGGAGGTTCATGATAGGAGATGGTAGTAAGTATTTAGGAGTGAGAAGTAAGTAATAGTTGTATATGATATAATGTGATGATCTAGAGTTGTTATTGATGTGGAGATGTAATATAATATTTCTTATATCTTATATGGTATTTGAGTGTCGAGATGTGGAGATGCGGTATTTGAAATAGTTATTATATTGAAATTGTGAGTATTGTGAGTAGAGATATTGAGATATGGAGGATATGTGGAGATAAATAGATATGTAGATGGATGCTGGATGATGGATGATGTAGGTATAAAGGTATAAAGATAAATCGATGTTGAAATGGGTGGGTAGGTGGGTAGGTGTGTAGGCTGGGGCTGATTTGAGGTTAGGGTTGGAGGTTGAGGGTAAGGGAGAAAGGAGGGGGGCGAGAAGAAGAAAGGAAGAGATAGGAGAAGAGAGGAGGGAGAGAGAGAGAAAAGAGGGGAGAGGAGGGGAAGAAAAGAGGGAAGAAAAGAGGGGAGATGGGATAGGAAAGGGGGGAAGAGGGGGAGGAGGGAAATAAGAGGGAAGAGGGGAGGAGAGAGAAGGGAAGGGGTGAAGAGGGGAGGATGAATAGGAAGAGGGATAGATAGGAAGGAGGGGATTGAGGAAAAAAGAAGAAGAGGAGAAAAGAGGTTAGAGAAAGGAAAGGGGAGAGGAGAGAGAAAGATATAAGGTTGGGGGTTGAGGGTTTGAAAAAGATGTGGAAACAATTACAAAAAATAATCAACAATATTATATAAAACTAGCGAGTTTTAGGAATATGAATTATTTTATTTTAGAGTTGTTGTATGTGTGTGTGTATGTGTGTGTATATAGGGGTATTATTTATTCATTTGTTGGAGTGGAGTGGAGTGGAGTGGAAAGGATAAAAGAGGAGGGAAGAGGAGGGAGGGAAGAGGAGTGGATGTAATTCTTGTTGGGGTGGGTAGGTGGTAGGTAGGTAGGTGGGTGTATTGGTGATTGCATTGTACTGTAATGGTTTTTGTATAAATACTCGAGTAGTGTATTTTTTGTACTTTTAGTTAACTCGAGTAGATTAGGTTGAGATATAGATATAGATAGTAGATAGTAGATGGTATAGGGTTTACTCCTTGATTTATTATTAGATTTAGAAAGTATCTGGAATAGTTGAAATACTAATTAGATGTAATACTGAGTTACTTGTATGAGTATATTGATTAGACTACTTAACTATATGGAATTTATAGTATAAAGAATAATCCACAACAGAAATAAATCTATGTATAAGTATCTAGTATTTTCGCCATCTGATTCAAAGTCTCAGACAAGCTATTTTGCTTCCACTCGAATATATGACTCTTGCAAGAGGGCCATCTATATAGAAGTATAGAGAACTCTCATAAGAAAACTCCTCCCAGGAATCTTTGTCTAGATAAATACATACTTAACAATTACTAGATAATAACTTCTCCATATCAAACTAATTCTTCTCTACATACCTAGTACTCTCTAGCAAAGTCCCCTAAGCCTACTTACCTAGTAAGCACCAAGAAAACACAACATCCCATAACTTCCAAAGCACAAGCACAAAATCAACATGCTTAGTCGTTGACGTATTGTTGTCCTAAGGCCATCGAGGAACAGGACTTTCTTTGCAGTTCTCTACTCAACTCTAACAAAAAGTTTAGTATATATACTGAGTGAGTACATCTCCAAACTTTAATATATGATATATGAACAAAACCATACCATAAAGTTCTAGCAAGTTCATTTCATTAAAGAACTCTAGAAGCTTAAGATCACATCAAATCTTTCAAAACTTGCCAAATGGCAAATCTTAAGTGATGCATCAATGCACAAGTCAATCTCGAGCCAACGACTAAGCAAACAGATTTTATTCCCCCCCAAAGCCCTAGATAGGATTAGTTCCCACAGATACTCTACAGTAGTGTTGATTTTGAAAATCTCTTCTTTGTGGTTTTGTTTTTTTTTCTGTTTTACAATCTTCAAATTCAACGATCTTTCTTGCAAACTTCAATTTATCAATACTATCAACAACATCATGCAATGGAAATTGTATTGATATCATCATGTAAATATGAAACTACATATTCTGTGAGTGTTCTTATTTCTTTTCTTTATGAAACACGTTATCTACATCTCATTGTCGCTGTGAGCGGAACTTGCGGATTTTGAGTCTGCTGGGAAATCTGCTTTCGGTGATGAGCGATAACTTGCATTTGCTGCATTTCGCAACGTTTTTTTGGTTGTTATACCTGACTTGATTGATTGAATAGGAAGTCCTTTTTAAAACCGCCAAGACCTCGTCGTCGCTGATGAAAACCACTTGGTCTGGGTAGATCGTGACCATAGCCATAAGTCAGGAGTCTCGCAGAAGGTCGATTCACAAGAATAATTCCAAGGTAAGACATTCCTCCAGCAGAGTATACTTGTGCGTTTTAATTTGTAGCACTAACACTTGAGATAGTACCGGCATGTTAAACTCAGAGCAACGAGTCGCAGCTTCAGGAGCAGAATACAACATCGTGGTCAGTAGATCCCTGTTCCATCTGCGAAACACTTGACCTTTCTGCTGCAGACGATAGCGGTCCATGGGAATCATTGAACAGAAGCATCAAGCTCCGTTGACAACAACTATGATTTACTTAATCGTGGCAGTCTTGGATATCAGCACTACAGATCAAGAAACTTCTGATCAAAATGAATAAGGTAGTAATCTCATGCCTCGGATCTCCTTAGCCGACGCTAACTTCGCTGCTAGACCGAATTTCCTGATGTCTTACCTTCTATGATTTAGCATCGGAGCAGTAGACGCTAATTCCTCTGCTTGTCCAAACTTCGACATACCTTACCATCTATGATATAGCGTCAGAAAATTCTTCATCACAGTAAGAAACTTTGGCCCTTTTCCGTTCCACCTGAGGTCTCATCATCTTATCTTCAAGAACCAAGCACAGCTGCCACAATACCAACATCATGAACCAGCATAGGTTCACTTGAAGCACGGATTCATGGAAGAAAAGCAGACACTGATAATCGACGTTACTACACTCACAAGCCAGAAAGAGAGACTATCTGGTGCGCGTTACTAACACGACTACTGTGAGTAACAGCAGTACTGGTAATAGAGGATATTCCAACCAATACAGGTTTATTGATAGGGTCCTTGTCTTGTCCGTTCCAAAAACGAGATGGCAGCTTCAGGAGGCCTTGAGCATCAAGATGAAGATGGCCTCTGTGGTATGTATGTACACTGTATTGTGTATCATATGCACTTGCTAACAATTCAATAGGAGTAGGGCTCCCACCAATTAGGAATAACGCATATAGAAGTCCTGTCGGAAGAAGAGGTATCGGAGAGACAGTCAGAAGGCTTTAGTGATTTGTTGAATATAATGGTAATTTACTTGTCCTCTAAATTTTCAAGTGTTCCATTGGTGATCGATGTAGTTTCATCAATCATTCTTTGAAAAGCCCGATGAAAGGATGATTCGTGTTCTGATATGTGACTTGTGATATTTGTGTGTTGCATGCATATCCATCGCCTTGCTGCGAACGATTCAACTCATTCAATGGTTGCGATCGTAAGGGATAATGCTATATTTGTTAACGTGGTGGTGATGATTTTGTGGAGATCTTTGGAGAAACTGGTTATGACAATGACAATAGTAAGTTTTTCTCGGAGTGAAACCTCTGATTTTCTGATCACTAACAATCTCAAGATAAGTTTGTTATTCGGTCAGAAGTTCTCACCAAATGCGTCGTCAAAGATAGCATGAGAAGCAACTTCCTTTGCAATTTCTTCAAGCTTGGTGTACTTGCCGCTGTTGACCCCTAGGGCCATTCTACCCCGGGTCACTCCCAAGGCTTCGTCACGAACTCCACGCCTGCCTACTCGCCAGGGCATAGTTTCTACCCTAGCTACTCTTCATCTTACCGATGATGAGTATACAGTCACCGGCGCAAAGCGTCCACGATTCCTTAGAGCTTGCAAGGGAGCTCTATTGGCAATGGTCGGCGTCTATCGACCAATGTTCATCTGGACCCTTCGAAGTATCACGGAGGCAAGAAGAGTGTTTTCGTCAATCCAAATTCTGCTACTGTTTCCCTCGACATCTCGACCAAGAATATAACATTCCATCGGTGATCAAAACCGGCATTCACGCCGTTGAAATCGGGCGGCTTTTTTCGACTTTTCAAGAAAGATTCAAGGTCAGATGGCACAAGAAGTAACGAAGACCTGCCAAGTCGAGGCAAAACACTATATGGTCGCAGTGAAGACCTTCCAATTGAATCAGAGTCATTTGATCCATTAGAGGGAGGGTTACGAAGCTTCAGATGGTTTCATTAACTCTGCAGGTATTGCCGAGTAAGTGCACATAACCTCTAACTTTGGATTTCTCAATATTCTAATAACATTCCATTAGACTCGGTTCAAGATGACTGTGCAGCGTTCATTATTCGGATGTGGATATAGGAAGTTTAGAGTTGGGCATTGGAGATGTTGGAGCACTGCATATAGATGGGCACGATGACCCAACAGAATATCTGCCTGTGAGTTATCCCCGGGGAGGCACAACTCCATCACTACCCGAATGGAGAAACCTACAGCCAATGCTCGGTCTGGGTCTGGGGTCTGGAACAGACTCACACCGCTTGGCGACAGCCCAGTCGGGTTTTATGATCGCCGAGCCAAGAAGCTCACCGAGTGCAGGTGCTTTTTCATCGGCACCGGGTGGTACTTACGGAGGTTCTGACAAGTTCTGTTGATAACGATACTGTACTGGTACTGTAACTTTAGTCTTAGCAAAAATAAAATATTGTTCCCTGTAGCCGCTGCGGCGTGCACCTCCACATGATATGAGTGAAAGTTTGTCGTGCGGGAAAATTTGGGATGGATGTCTTTCGTTATTGGTAAGTGTTCTACCATCGTCATCGATTGAATGATTGTTGATGTCTTTCGCAGATCAAACGTGTTGTCTGTATCGTCGCAACCTTGAGATATTTGCAGAACGACAAGATTTCACTTGTGCTAGGATATCTAGTTGAATACTACCATCAACAAGCACCGATATTATCAAGAATGTCGTGGCAGTCGTGCATCGGTAGATACTCTTTTCCGGGGAGAGCCGATCCACTTCCCTCTGAGAAGCTAACGCACCTTCGTCTTGATTACTTGTTCGTCCGTGACGAAGATTTCCTCTCAGTCCTTCGAATCATACCGCTCACGATTTCGAAATCTCAAGAGCTCGTCAGTATGTTCGTCCGTCGCCAGTTTACCAATCACCATTACCGGCACCTGTTGCTCACCCAGCTCAAATTCTCCCGCTGAAGGGGTTTAGAGATTCAAAGATTTTGAAATAGGATCACAAGAGAGGAATCGAAGCCGGAGTTGAAGATGCTTGCCGGCATGGTCGGTCATGTTTGACCAGTTCCACTTGGATTCATGCTCAAGTGGTTCTCTCCGCCGATCTCATGTCTCAGCTCTCTCAAGACAACGTTCAGCCAAGTCGAATAGCAGCAGCCCTCGCCTAGAACTTTCTGCGCCGTTTCTCACAAAGCAACACTGCTATCCTGAGTGAAACTTCGACAGGAACCAGCTACTAGCATTGATTGGGTGTCCATCTCAGGGTGGTCACATCCTTCACAATAAATCAGGTCAAGAGTTACCACTTAACTATGTTGGTGCCTTGAAGCACCGCGGATAATTTGAGATGATTCGCCACTTTTGACTCCCAGTGCAGAACTTTCGCGACAACTTCCAGAATGTCGCAAGAATCGTCTGAGAGCTTCCATTACTCGAGTCAGTGAATGGTGAGATCAAAAGAGAGAGCCTGTTCTACAAGCCGAGGTATTGCATAGTTTATGGATGGTCGTCTGGAGCTGGAAGAGACATACATGGTCTTGTGGCCAATGATCCTCGTAGCTCCGTGCCACCACGCTCCATCTCGACTTTATGGTGGATCATCTTGGATTTTCGTCTGCAACAACGACCATAGCAATCAATGGAGAAAGAAGAGAAGCCGGTCAGAAGATGGAATTTGAAGTGACCATCTCTCTGAACATCCTAGATGTCGATCGAAATTCAGTCAATCTCACTCGAGAACCTGTAACGAGAGATATTACTAAGTCAGGACTTAGGACTCAGCGGCAGTGCTTGCCATTGCTAATATGGACTCGATACCAATCTGGGCTTCAACGTTAAGATGACACTCGAACAGGGACGCCTCCCCCCGGGCATACCAAGGTGCAACGCTGTAGGTGGGCGTTTAGAAGATTCCAGCTGGCACTCACTTCTGGGGTGGATCTGGTAATGGATCTTCTCGTACTGGATTTTGGTTTATGTCCATGAAACTGACCTCGGATAAGTATGGCGAGACGCATGTCTTGAGATGGGACAACTACTATGAGTCTTTGGAAGAGAGCCAACCTCAAGAAGGCTGGCACTCCGAGTCTTAACAGATGAGTTTATTCACGAATATGTACTCTGTCTTCGACCTATGATGGTGTAAAGGCACAGCGAGAGTTTGGAGGAAAGATCTCCAGTGATAGATTATCTGGAGTGCTTGCTCAAAAGACCATTTGGGGACATCCAAGCTTAGACAAAAAGTTGTCTGAAAGAGCAAAATGGCCAAATTTGCCCAAACTGAAGCAGGCAGGAGTTCGGGAGATGAGATTGCCTGTTCCAAAAGATGGTACTCGGGTAGATAGGTAGCGAATGTCTTGGTGGTTGACTCTCGGCTCGAGCAGACTCGAAAATTCCGGAGGGGAGATTACGTGCGACAGCGAGACAAGATTTCTGTCTCGAGATGGCTTTGTTCTCATGCTTTTTTTACACTGACAGTGCCTCCGAAGACTCATGGTAGTTGCAATTTTCTAGCCAAACATTCCAGCCTCGTATACCATTTGCAACTACCATGAGTCTTTTGAGGAGGAGCTCAGCGAAGCTGAAAAACGCATTCAAAGGGCCAGCATACCCGAAATTGCTAACAGACACAAATCAAAATGGTGTCCAGGCTTGTCGATGGGTCTGGTTATAAATGGGCTCGCAGGTAGAGAGGGTGGTTGGCTCAACATGACAGTTCTTGACTTTTGTGTCTTTTATCAAGTACGAAAGCTTTGAGGGGCTCATTGCTGTTGAGCCCAGCAGGAGCGGAAAGACTTCAACAACCATCGATTTTTTAAAAGATTCATGGTCCTTTTAAAACGACTATTTCTTAAAGCTTTTTTACGGCATTGGCTGAGAGCGACCCGGACGCAACCGGCTTAGGTTCTGATCATCAACTTGATGACGAAGATAGCGGGCTTGTTCAGTCAGGTTGAAGGAAAGCAGAACACTCGAGGTCTGGGAAATCACATGACACGTGCTTGTGTCGAAGCTGGTGTTATATCACTATCATCTTTGATACCAACCAAGAATTGGGAGACCAATCTGCTGAGTTGTACGAATCTACTGGAAAGAAGATCTCGGTCTCTTTTTTAAATGACGCCAGACGAATTTCAACATTGGTCTTGTACTTCACCACACCATTCCAACGTATTTGCTTCATAGTAGTTAGTGTAGATATATAGCAATAAAAAACGGTTACCCATGGCCGCTTAGGCGTGCAACTTCTATTCTGGTGGTGCCTTCATGAGCTATCGTTCTGCTGTTGTCCCGTTCTCCCGTGCTCCCAAGCTTGAACAGCTATCATCTTCGCTGCGTCATAATGGCTGAAGACTAAAGCTTTCAATATTGGTAGCCACAAAATGGAAGGAAGTTTCGGTAAGAAACCTCCGCATCTTCAATTCTCACACATTTCCATACGGACATATTTTCCATTTGTTTGCATCTAGCACCACCATGCAGCTTGTAGCCGTTGCGAGCTCCAGTACATTTGCCAACTCTATCAAGAGGAGTATTTCGTCTGAAAAGAGATGTCATATCTACAATGGTAAACAGAGCTCCATCCAGTGAGGCCTCACACCGCAAACAAGAGTGAATCTGGATCCAGGACAGAACTCACGACGACGGGTTTACCCAAACTTTAACGAATTCAACTCAATCATTTCCCAATTCTTGCCAAAACAGGCAGGAGCACATCGAAAACCTGTAACAGGAGGTATTACTACGTTCAGGGCCCAGCGGCGCCGCCACTGATTTTAGAGCCTGCCATTGCGGACATAGACCTAGCCGACACAATTGTTACCAAAAATTGGAACGAACGACGAGGATGGCACCTCACACAAGCAAGGAGGTCGCTAAGCATAGGAGACTGTGCAAATTCCTACACTGCAAAACCTATTGATAAGGTCATCGCGAGGTTGACACTAGTATCAATACTGCCAACAAAACATCTTCTCGTGGAGGAGATGTTGACGGAGCCATTTATCGTGCTGCTGGACCATCCTTATTGAGGGAATGTCGAACTACAAACGGTTACATGACTGGATCAGCAAAGATCAAATGGCAGATCTTGTCTGAGATGAGTATGATGTCTGCCAGCGTGCTGACCTACACATGCAGTGCCGAAATCGGATCGCTCCTGAATCCTGGGTGGAAAAGGGCGACACAAGATGATAAAGTACGCCGGTCTTCCTTTGACTGGTCCGTCTTGTATGTTTATTGTAAATGGTATACCGGCAATGGTATACCGATACTACATGAATGGTATGAATGGCATGAGTGGGTGTACCGGCGGCCACAACTCCTCTCCTCTACCAGTGCCAACAGTATCCAGTCATTTTTCTTTGTCGATAACTCTGGTGACTATTTTGCTTGTGGATAAGATCTGTTTACGGCTAAGAGACTCGCATCAACCTCCGCCAGGGGTTCTGCTGCTACCAAAATCACGATTGAGACATCTATGCAGACCACCACACCACAACTTACACCCAGAACCTGTCCTCTTACCACAGCATGTCTATCTCAGTTCTTAGGAACTATGACCGCTGGTTCGCAGACCAACGGTACGACAGAAGCTTATCCGGAATGGAAAGAGGGAGTGTTTCTCAACGATACAGGGGAAATAGTACCAGATCGAGAAGTGAGAGTTTTTTGAGGGCGAGTGTTAATTTTGGAGGACTGGAATTTTGAGAACTCATTCGGGGGGTGTAAATGGCGTTGACTTTCTGTCGTTTACGCCCTTGCCAAGCATCCACTTGCTCCCTTTACAGATTTACACCGTTTCCGCCACCAAGGCGACCTTGGTTGGCCGATGCAGATATCACAGTATCTTTCGAAGATCCCCTATCACAAACCCGCTTGGAGGAATCTGAAGAGATTCACCCTCACACTCGTCCAAAAGAAACGTTTCAATACCATTTGTGTGTCTTGAAAACATCTGTCTTTCTGGCTTTCCTCTGGTAACCATTCTCAGTCGCTTCAACAATAAAAGGAACTTCGTTGAGCAAAACCGGCTCAGAAGCATCAACACGTGTTTCGTCCGAAGAAGAATATCTGCATTGATATGAAGGATGATTTTCCGAATCGGCTCCCAACCAAAAGGCAGCTTGTGAGAAAGCAGCTCGAGAAGCTGTTAAGGAGGTGGGAAGCGTTGTCACTCCTCTTACCAGAGTGTATACATAAGCATGATTCCAACCATGCAGAAGATGGATTGGGTTTGAAACCCGACAATATCAGCATCCGCCTTCTGCGAATGATTTTCCTCCGTTGGTTTACAATCCCGCATTGCTAAACCTTGAATCTCTAAGTCGACAGAACCCAGCAGACAACAACGAGATTTCCACGGTCTTGCCATTGAGCTGCAGAATAAGATCTGGGCCATGGTATCTTTGAGCCATTCTTAATTTCTCATGTTATCACAATTGTCGAGGAAGATCTCGAGGTTGCTCTCACTCCAAATAACGATAAGTGAACAGTTATCCGCCGATATTCAAATGGAAAATGGTTGAAGAGTTATTTTTGGGGGTTATGCTGAGATGGAACAGTTGAGTTGTGGGATAAATCAAAATTAACTCATTTGTGCAATTTCGGATGCCAATGAAAGACTTCGGCAGGTAATCTCTGTTTGATGTGGCTGAACACAGTGGTGAATTTCCGAAAATTTTCGTCATTTTATTTTGAAACATATTACGATACCAGGGTTGTTACTCTTTGATGCTTGCCTCAAGCTTTTTCTCAAAGAACATTGTGTTTTCAAATCGCATCGAAAGCTCGTGCTAAAGTATTCTCGTGAACTACACAAACTCTCAAATTCGTCGTTGATCTTAAGTTGCTGGCACAAATACCGATTGCCAAGAACACCAGCACTACACGAAACTGGAGTGGCAAAATAAGCCAACTCAAAGGTTGTACCTCTCGAAGAGATAGACATCCGACCGCATTGTTAACGATCATTTACGACCAGTTCGAATTCCTCGTTTAACAATCAACCACAAACCTTCCCCTTTGTGGGCCGAAAGAATGTGCGAATATTCGACCGTCCAATACTCCACAGTCGCTAAGCAGATCAGATCCTGCTTCAAGGATACTAGATCCATCGAATGAAAAGAGATGGCTAGATATTGTGCTCTCAGATGTAGGGCGGAGGCTTTGCAGGTCTGGTGTGTGAAGCAAAACCATAAAATCGGCTGCACTAAGCTTTGCATCGACTGTAGCACAGAGAAGAGAAGAGCCATGCGAGAAGCGACGCCTGGTACTCTAGAATGGGAGAATCGACAAAATTGGATTTGGTGGAAAGGGTGGAGGGCGGATCTAAAGATAATAGCGGAGAGAAAGGCGGAGAGAATGAAGAGAAGATATACGTTCCTGGAAAGTCTGGGAGAGCCGGTGAAAATTGATCCTGGGTTTCCAAAACCGTTCGCACCATTGGAAGATGGGCATATTTCGACCGAATGCCATGATATTAGTGGTCGATTGATGAGATTTCATCGGTGGAGTGTGGCAGGTGGCGGGTGGTGGGCGGAAGTTGGTGCAAGCAGGGAGTAGAAGTAGAAAGATTTGAGGAGCCGAAATCGAACAAAATAAGTGGACCATTTTACCAATAATTACATCTTCTTTTTTCCTTTCGTGTATATCACACACTTCTATTACCCCTGATATCGAAATCTCACCGGTTGTACCAAGTCTCCTCATGTCGCGCTAACAAATTCACCTTGCTTTCGTCAATGCAATCCGAAATACTTCTGCAACTAGCAGAACAGAATCCCCTAGGTATGTCTTGTGGGAGCAGAGAGGAGTTACAGAAAGCTTGACGATGAGCAACTAGCTCCCGCGCGTGATGGCCCTCGCCTTCGGCTTTAAGGGTGAAGCAATTGTTCCCCTCGCAAACCGTGAAGACGATCTCTTACCTTAGCAGAACAAGCTGTCGGAGAGTCATGTTCCCGCCCGCCTTGTAAGGCACATTCTTAAAATTATCGTCGTGTTAGGAAACAAACCGCAGTATATTTCAACCGGCTTGGCGTTGAAGAGTTGCCGCACTGTGATGGCATCAAATATTAGACCGACCCCTTCCTCGGTGCGATCAGATAGTAGCAGCAACCTACCAAAACATATTTCTTCTGTGTCTATAGCTGCAACGTGACTACCCTTCGGCTCGAAATCTCGCCTGTTGATAGCAAGCAAATGCCATCAATCAAGCCTCTGGTCAATAAATATCTGCTCAGAACAATAAATTGAATCCATTGAACTTTCGTGTTGTCTAGATAATACTGAACTTTCGCGCTCCTTCTGTCCACAGCTAGCCAGATAGCTGAAATATTCAGTCAAAGAAGAGTTGAGTATGATGAAACTCAGAATGGAAGAAGAATAGCTGGTAGGTGTGAACAATGGACGTCAACTCGTCAAAGGTATGAGTACGGTTCTATTGCACTCTTCTTTACGAGACACTACGACTGCGATACCTATCTCTATTGACTCTACCGTGGACAGGTAAAGTCACACTTGAGGAGAAACTTTGGACGGAAGCAGATGCTTGGTCAAATGTCGACTTTCATCATCTTGTTGTGTTTTCTGAATCAACGGTTGTACTCCCAAGTCTGTCATGTAACTAAGTATTAAAGTATACTCCAGTAGAGGTTGTGACTTTTATTCGTGCTGATATTTGTAATTTCGATTGTCCTGTCTGTAGAAAACCAACCAAAGAAGGTCTAGCTAAATGCAGTTTTCGAAATTTCGGTATTGAGGTTCATATATGCGTGCGATATAGCCCAGTTATGTCTGTTTGAAGAATGCAAGGTCTCTTTATTATAATATGCTGTAGTTTTGAGGAGAAGTACCTACCCAATTCTTTCTTTCTCATCATTCACACTTCGCCATTAAATTGTGATTGCGATCGCCAAGTCTCGCTTAGCTTATCATCACGTGCTCATGGCGGAACAAGGCCGTATTAGAGGTAGCGTCTGAAGATCTAATTAGGTAATCAGGGTCAGTACAAAGGGTTTGTCACCTTTCGCCCTTAAATCTTTCTTTCCACTTCATCTTCAAAAGCCATCCACAACTTCTTTCCACCACAATTCAACGACAACGAATTCGTCCCGATAACATCTTTACCATCCATCTGCATCAAAAGAATTACAATATCGAAAAGATAATACTGTTGGGAAGAAATCGCGGAAGGAAATAATTACTTGGAGGAAAGAATCATACAAAGAAGAGAGAACAAGAGTGGATCATCTTGGTGGTTGCAATTATTTGGTCGTGTGGAGGAAAGCAGCAGACTTCAAAGAAAAATCATCACAATAGCAGTATTACTGCAATCTTGTACAATCATTTCCTTTTCAGAGAGCTTTTTCTGTGTCGCCAGAGTTATCTCTAGTGATCGCAATCAGATTTGATTTCACCTCGTTCCCTTGAACGGAAAAAAAAAGAGAAGAATCTTGATATTGCACCGGTCGCATTCACGAAACCTCCCTTCCATCCTTCCCTATTCCACCGTATTAACATTTTCTCAAGCAATTGCTTGATATTATTGAGTGCATCAGAAGAGTAGTTTGTTCCTCTGTACACAAGATCGAAGTCGGAAATTCTCAATTCAAGGATCTTCAACTTCCTTTACAACTTCAACTTTTTGATCAACTTGACCAATAGCAATCATGACGTCCTCAGTGTTCTTCAAATTCAAGTCCCAGAAGGAACCCTCTAGAGTCGAATTTGATGGTACTGGTATCTCTGTATTTGAACTCAAGCGTGATATCATCATCAAGAGTGGATTAGGTGACGGAACCGATTTCGATCTCGCCATTTATAATGAAGAAGGAAATGAAGGTAAGCATATTGTGTATCCCAGACCTGAATTGATTCTGACCAAGACAGAATATGATGACGATACTACCATTATTCCACGATCAACTTCGATTATCGCTCGTCGACTACCTCCTATCAAGCAGGGAGCGGGAAGAGCCGCAAGATACATGTCAGGGCAGATGCCGATAAAACAGAAGAATTCATCGCGAAAAGAACAAGGGAAGCAGGCAAATGCAAAGGCTATTGCATCTACACAAGGGCTAGCACAAATGAACAGTGCGATGACTGAGGAGCAAAAGATGGCAGCTATGTTTCAAGCTCAAAGTGATCAATGGACGGCACAACAAGAAGAAATGGCCAAGTAAGTTATTCATTCCTATGTAATCCAGCAACGTTTTCTTACAAGTCTCTAGTCAAACACCAGTCTTCCGACCAGGTGGCAAGAAAGGCCAACCACCACCAAACGTTCCGGATCATGAACCACCAACTGGTTACATTTGTTATCGATGTGGCGAGAAAGGACATTGGATCCAAGTCTGTCCTACGAATGATGACCCAAATTTCGATAACAAGGCACGGATCAAGCGTACAACTGGTATTCCAAGATCTTTCTTAAAGACTGTAGAGAAGCCAGTGCAGTTGAGCAATGATGGTACATTAGATGATACGAAGGCCCCATCTGGTGTGATGGTAAATGCTGAGGGAGAATTTGTCATTGCTGAGCCTGATAAAGCATCGTGGGAACAGTTTCAAGCTAAGACCAAGTCTTCTGCTGCTGCTCAGAAAGCTGCTGCTTTAGGAGATAAAGAGTTGAGGGATAGAGGATTGGAATGCGCGCTCGACATGAGAATATTCATAGATCCAATGAAGACGCCCTGTTGTGAGAAGACGTATTGCAATGACTGCATTACTAATGCTCTTATCGAAAGCGATTTTACATGTCCAGGATGTCAGACTGATGGAGTATTGATTGATGATCTGAAGCCTGATGATGAGATGACTGCAAAGATCAAGACGTATTTGGAGGAGAAAGATACAGCTGCCAAGAAAGAAAAAGAGGAACAGAGAGCTAAAAGTCCTAGCGTAAAGCCCGAAGCCGCCAGAACGCCACCTACAACCAAAGCATCAACACTTGCAGGCAAAGCTAAATCACCCACGCCAAAACAGTCACCTAGTCTCAAGTCACCTGAGATGTCTAAGGTCATGAAAGGTAGTCCTAAGCAAGGAAAGTCAACTACACCCGTCGTCGGTATTCTTGGTGCACCTTCAGGACCACAAGGTAAAAAGCGACCTGCGGATGAATTACTCGAGAACCCTAAGATTCCTAAAGGACCCAAGGCTATGCGTCAAAAAGAAGCTGCCATGAATCCACAACAACAGAACATGATGAATGGTATGAACGGCTACCCAAACATGAACAACATGCAACCACAATTTTACGGAAACGCAAATGGCTACAACAACGGCATGCCCAACATGAACATGATGAACAATTTCGGCATGGGTGGTATGAATCCAATGATGAACATGAACCCCATGATGGGTATGGGTTTCCCGGGTATGAATAATATGCCTATGTTCAATAATGCAAACGCCTTCGGCAATATGAATCCAATGATGAACGGAAACATTCCACCGATGAATGGGATGGGTAAAGCAGTGGGCATGTCGAATGGTGCGGCGGGTGGCTTCCCTAATCAACAAAAGACGATTTTTGCGGAGCCCCTGCCGAATGAAGAGGACAACGCGTATTTCAGAAAGCCTGTTAACCCACATAGGCATGTGGGGAGACAGAGAAGAGCGAGACCAAGTGATTATCGGGAACTCTGAGAGGGTTATACGATACTTATGGTTGATTACATTCCGTTCTATTGCCTTCCAAGGGACGGACTTCTCAACATTTCAAAACAAAACAGCCGTCGATATACGATACAGCATCTGCACATGCTTTCTTCTTCTGATCGCCAGGGTCTTCGTCTCTCAACATAACGAAATACTTTCAAATCTGATCTTCTACTTTTCACCTTGCATTGGCAAAACTCAACTCAACGACAAACAGCATAGGCCGCAGGGCTTTTTATAGCGAGGAAGGATGCTTCTCTGCTTTCCTTCCCTTTTTCTTCTTCTTTCTTCTTTCTTCTTTCTTCAAAACTATACGCACGAAACGAAACTTACTAGAGCCTGGATTGGCATGGGCATGGCATCACTGGTGCATGGGAGGCTTACTATTTTGTTGCTCACGACTTATTTGTATGCTTGCTTGCATGCAACTAAGATAATTGTTGGCGTTTGGGACTTGTGTTCGGGTTACGGGCATTGGGATTGGACTGGGATTTCATGTTCCGGGATGGTATGGGTCTGGTTTTATTGCATTTGCATTTGCATTTGCATTTATGATGTTAAGTGTGGGGTGGGATACTTGCTTGCTTATTTGCTTGCTTGCCTGCATTGATGGGTTGGGCGGTGCAAGTGAAATTTTGAGAAAGGCGGGAAGGGATACTGGGTGTTGGGAAGTGGAAAGAAATTACAGCGAAGGAAGGGAGTGAGTCCCCCTTAGGACACCTGCGTTATGGTTTAACAGATGTGCCGCCCCAGCCAAACTCCCCACCTGACAATGTCTTCAACCCGGATCAGCCCGCGAAGGACCTTAATGCTAGAAATTGGGCTTTGACGAGAGAGGGAGAGGCGAGGTACATAAAATGAAATGGGGTACATAGCGCACATGGGAGATTAAAGGTTTCTTTTAGCTAATTATACCAATTAAATGAGACATCATGGAATACTCAATGGAGTTTTTGAAGTGATGTTCCTGATGTGATGATACTGACATACTGAATCGAAGAATTCCTCTGTCCTCATTCAATACATACTCAACATCCCATCATGCTATTCAATATTCATCAACACTGTCCATCAACACTATACCATCTATATCATGCAACAACAATAACATCAACAAGATCTTTCCTCCCTATCTTTCCCTTCCCCTTCCTATCTTCCTGTCTTCCTATCATTTTCATCCAGATATTTACAAGCAACCAATTAATTAATCACCTACCTACCTACCTACCTACCTACCTGTACACCAAAAAAATTCTTTAAGTAATAAACGGCAAACGGCAAACGGAACTTTGGAGAGGAACTTGGGGGAGGAATTTGGGAGAGGAATTTGAGAGAGAAAAGGAGGAGAGGAAAAAAAGAGAGGAAAGTGGATTGGATCTTGGCTGTGGATGTTATTGGGATGGGGGGAGATGGGAGATGGAGGATGGCGTTGCTGATATTTGGGTATTGTGTGGTTATGGTTATGAAAAAGAAAAGAAAATGAAGAAGAGAGGGAGATTGGGTGGACCTGGAAGAGAGGAAGGAAAAAAGGAGGAGATTTTATAGGGGTTAAATTGGTGATGAGGGACGTGAGAATGGGGATGAATCGGGTGTTTCTAGAAGGAAAGGAGGGAAAGGAGGGAAACTTGAATTATAGGGTATGGAGGGGGTATACAGTATAAGGGTAAGAGTGATAAGTAGTGATTAAACCAGTATCTTTAATACTCATACTGTCATACAGTATAACAATTCGCTAGCTGGTGGACGTCTGGGAATTGGAATTTGGAAGAGATGTTAGGGGATGGGGTTTGGGGTTTGGGGATTGGGGAATGGGGATTGAAGTAGTGTGTTTTACGGGGGGAGGAGGGGAATTAGGGGGGGCAAGAGAGTTATATAGTATATATGTTATTATCATCATTATTATCACCGTTAATATTATGAAATTGTTATTTATTTATTTATTTATTGAATAGCGAGAAATTAAAAATGATATGAGACAGTGATATTATACTCGAGTATAATAATAACAATATGTAAAAACAACAGCGGGAAAAGAGGTAGAGGAATGATGAGATAGTATAATACTTTTATATTTCCTACAATGCGCAGTATAACACCTTCTCTAGTCTTGATCTTGACATTCTCAAGCTCGGCTCATGTATACAGAACTGGACAGGCGCATAGTAATGTATATCTAGTTGTATATAAACCATGGCTTGAATGGATTTAAAAGGAGAATATGGAGGGCTATTTATATGAAATTATGAATGTAATCTAGATCTTGAAATCTTAGATGTGGGAAATTTGGATATTGAATTGGATAGGAGAGATTCTGCAATGCTCAAGCTCTTGTTTTTGTCTTGTTCACTCCTTATCTTAGTCTCTATAGTATAATCATAATCATAATCATAATCATCTTACTCCTAACGATTTAATAATTCGTTAAGAGAAGAGACTTGTATATCTCCCTAGCTCTTGTGTAATTTCGTATAAGTTTGTATAAGTTCGCCAATTCCTTGAGCTTTCTAGAATATCAAACAAATCGTTGATTTGGATAATTCTCGGCTTGGAAGTTGAGGCTTCTCATCTCGCAGTAGTCATAAAATTTGGTATGGGCATGGCAATATGAATAAGAATAAGAATAAGAATAAGCGATGTTAATGATTGAGATGTGAAATGAATAGCTAGATGGTTGGTGTTGGAGTTGGAGTGATATGATAATGAAATGAGATAGTAAATATATCATCTCATTTAAAAACAACAAAAATCAAAATAGAAATTAACAAAATCATATTACACTCAAATGAACTCCCAAACCTTCCAGACATAACAACAAATATACTCGAGTCGTTAACAACAATAACAACAACAACAACAACAATAACAATAACACTGCTACAGTGCTACTGCAGTATTGATAACTAATAAGAATGAGACGATACTTCATCCTCCCCGTTCTCATCCATATCCATATCCACATCCATATCTACATCCACATCCTTGAATTGTGGATTGTGGATTGCGGTGAAGATTTGGGGTTGGTATGTATAGGTTTGTCTGATGTCATTGGATAGTAGGAATATAGGAATGACAGCAATAGAAGCATGTAAAGATACTCAAGTAAACGAGACGGAATAAATGAGATGATGATGCTGTCAGAATTTGCAGTTTGTATATACGAGTACCTCACCTATTTAATAACATATCGATCCTCACCATCCTCACCAGGCTCACCAAGCTCACCCCTCAAAAATATTCCCCCTTCTCATCAGCAACCATAACCGTATCCAACGCTCTAGCGCTCTCCACCCTCTCCATACTCAACACATATCTCCCCGGTAAATCCAGCTCTTCGACCGCCTCCCCCATTATTAACCCCACCACCGCTTTAGCACTCAACCTAGCCGTTGGCATTCCATGCCCCGTGAACCCAGCACAAACATATAAGCCGTCCCCTCCCCCTAACTCCTCTCCTACACTCCCTACCCACGGGAAATTATCCCTGCTAAATCCCATTATGCCGCTCCATTCAAACGAAGCTTTTAGTTCTTCGTGATCATTGTGTAGATTGAGGGCAAGAGGGAGTGAGCGACGGAGATAGGCTGCTGCGGGGAGATCGATGGAGGAATCGTCGAAGACGCCCATGCCGGCTTGCGATGCAAATTCGCGACCTCCGCCGAACATTAGTTCGCCTCCGGATGCTTTTGGGGAGGAAGAGGAAGAAGAAAGGGTGCAGAAGGGACGTTGGACTAGATAGTCGTCGCGATTGATGTTTTGGGATGCGTGGCCCATGATACTGTAGGAGTATTCTAGGGGTTCGCGGGAAGAATCGGTAGTGGGGGACATGGAGGATGGAGGGAGAAGTGAAGACATTTCTCCGCGGACGGGGACGATGAGATCGGTGAATGATGGGAGGAGATGAGATGTGTAGGCGTTGGTTGCGAGGAGAACTTTGGGAGTTGAAAGTTGTCCGCGAGGTGTGTGGATGATCCATTCCAAAGAGGATTTTTGAAGATGAGTTACGGGTGTTGAGGTTTGGAGGTTGAATTTGGGGGAATCGAGGGACTTATTCTTGGCAATTAGATCTTCTAGGATCCAAGATACTAATTTATATGGCCATAGAGAAGCAGCTTTTGAGGTTATGATTGCGCCGGCTGCAGTAGGGATTCGGAGGTCGGACAACGAAGGGTTGGTGGAGCTTTTGGTGATGATGGTTACCAAGTCACCCAACTTTGGGTCTGAAACCTTGAGCGACTTTGTATCTTTAACAGCATGTTCAAAAAGATCTTCCGACATATAAGAATGACAACTGGATAGTGATCTCCATTCACATTGAATATCATTTTTCTCCACGAAAGATTTGATATCCTCATAATTCCTCACTTCAAACGCTCCGACCTCGGGCGGTGAAGCATAGACTAATGGTTGGCAGTGACCTCCATTCTGAGTTTATAGATCTTGATTAGCTACTTAATCAAGAAGATTATATTATATTATAGCTAATAATGAAACTCAACTCACTCTCCCCGTCGCTCCCCAACATGCCTCCCTCGCCTCCAACATCACTACATTAAGATGTTTACCCTCTGCATGTTCTCTCAACCAGTGCGCTGCCGAACTACCCGCAATCCCACTCCCAATAATAACCACATCTGCCCTCGAAGGAAGTTCCTCGGTGGTCCTGTGACCTTGCAGAATCTTCGAAGGTTCACGATGCCAGAAAGATTTGGTAGAATTGGGAGTTGGGAGTCCGGCTTGACCTGGGATCTCATTTGTGGCCGTCATGATGGACGTACGAGATTGTTTCAATGGTATATATGTAGGATGTTCTGTTGGAGAGCTCGAGATTGAGGAGAGATAAGCTTCTTGGCTTGTCCTTCCTGTTGTATGCCCCACCATCACGTGTATTGACAGTCGCTATCTCCCCCACTTTCTGGTTTAGACGTTTCCTGCAAGATTGGATTTGCCTATTGTGGTTAAGTCGCAATATGACGAACATCTAATACCTATACGGGTAATATATCAATCTCATTTGATCTTCCTCAGTAATACCACAAGAAGACATCAAAAAAGGGAATATTCCGCCATCCCTTGAAATGAATGAACACAATCCCCTCCCAAAAAGCAAACAAATCCAAATAAATATCCGCATCCGCATTCCCATTTGACTCTTTCCCGAACCGAACCCGGCTCGGTATGCATATCGTTGTTTTTTTTTCGGATCCTGTTGCTAGCGTACATATTTATGATATCAATATCAAGCCATGATCAAGCCATTATCAAGCCATTATGAAAAAGTATTGTAATAAAAATCATGGAATCTAGATCTCATGTTGGAATCTTCGGCTGCAGCTCTGAGTGGATACAGGCATTCCTTGCTTCCCCCAGATATGCAGATAGTGGGGGTGAGACATTGGGGTAGTTTGTTTGTTTGTTTGTTTGTTTGTTGAGGGAAGATATTGAGGATGTGTTGGGGTAGGTGAGGAGTTATTACGAGTAGATTACTTGGTATTCGATATGTGAGAATTGTGATGCGAAATATGTGGAGCTCTCCATCTCAGGAATTCAGTCACGCACAAAATTTCAAATTTAAGTAAGATACCTCAAATCGTGAAAAAATCATAGCTTTCATTCATAACCTACCTGATAAAAGAAAACCTCTATAAATATAAAGTGCCCTCTCATTCCATAGATCCCAATCCCATTCCATCCCTTACTCCCTGAGATATACAAACGCTCATGCCAGCAGCGCGAAGCAGACCCAAAGAAACAAATCCCAATAACTAAAATATCATATCCTGCAAATTACCCAAGAAATGAATCAAACCATTATAATAGCCTCCCATTTTTTATGACTCCTGATGAAAATCCCAATGCGTGCGTGAGCGATATCCCATCCATGGTTCTGTAGCTGTAGCTGTTGCTGAGATGAAATGAATGAAGACGGTGTGTAGAGTGTCTCGTGAAGTATCAAGTGTTTCCACGATGAGCGCGAACTACCATATGACGAGCCCATCCATTCTTGCCATGCATAAATGAATGGAAAGAAACCGTTGCTTGTTGTATATTGTATGATGACACCGATGTCAAAATTCCAAACGCGACGAAGTTAACTGAAATGAAAATGCCGTGGGTAATCATGTTTGTTGAAGAAGATACATGGAAGATATGTATCCTCATTCCCACACAATTACATGCGCGCTGAAGTAAACTCCTCTCATGCAACCCCGCTCCCCGCTCCCCTCGCCTCAAGTGTATGTGCTAGTGAAGAAAGGAGAACCTATCTTCGACAAGCGGTACTCCAGCTCTCGGCAGGAAAGTTGATTGGAGAAGGTGGCGGTGGAGCTGGTGGAGCGTACTCATTCTCGTGGAAGGCATATGGGGCTTTATTTTTGAGGTTGTTGGCTTTGACGGTGTCAAGATAGAAACTGACGTCTTCGCCAAAGGTGGAGGAGGTAAGAAGTGGAGATAGACGGCGACGAGGAACGGGTGCGGCCATTGTGGTGGTTGATGATTGAGAAGGCATGTTGATTGTTGTATGTGTTTGACTTGTATCAAACTTTGACTCAAGAAGTATTGGTATATGATGAAGTCTGATGGAGACGACGGGTGTATGTGAAGGTCGAAAGGTTGAAATGAAGGTGCGGCTTAGATTTGGTGAAAAGGTTGAGAGACCTTGGACCTTTATGTGTTTTTTTTTCTAGTACTACCCCAGAATGTATGTGAGCTGACGGGTCTGGGGTCAGTTTGGGGGTTGGTTGGAAATACGGGGGAAATCAGCTACTACGCACCAGAAAACGTTGGTTCTGTATGGGGTAACGGGAGAAGGTTGATAAGCGCTTACGATCCTTCTGGAAGGATGTATTGATTTCGTGAGTTGGTGATACACTTGATGATTTTCCAACGAACGATGCTTGATATGAGGCAAAAATAGTGTGAATTATGAGGCTGAGTGAGATAGAATAGGAGAGGCAAATAATCAACGAATGTTTGAAGAGGAAAAGATTCTGTGAAATGATAAATCAAACGAAAATAATCAAAAGGGGGGGGGGCAAACGAATGAATTTATCTTATATTCACTTCTGTCTTATGCACACTTTTTTAAACTAATCATATCATATCCGGTATTCCATTCCCTTTACCAAACATAGCACAAGGAAAATAAGTTCAAGACATTTATCCCTTCGGAAAGCCGCCTCAAAATTTACCCCAGTCTTGACCAGGAATGTTCGAATTTCTCAAACCAGGGTTATGGATCGTATGCCTCAGATCAGACCGACTATTGATCAAAGCCAGTAACGGACGCACAGCAAAACGACCAAAGAAATGCAATAAATTGAAGCAAACCTAATTGTAATAATCACATATCTCCGATGTATTACTACCATACTAGCATAAATCATATCGAACCCGAGTGCCCCGGACTTCTTCCAAATTGTTGAACTTTATCATTCTATTACAAGGAAACCCCTAGAAATACTGCATTCGTTGTATCATCTTGTTGCATCTCATTGCATCTCATCCAATCTCAAGCATAATCCCCGGTTCCTTGGCCTGTATGTATTATGTCGGATTATGTGGTGTTGTTGAGCTGTTTCCAGCCTTACTACTGCAACAGTGTTGTACCCTTGCATATGTGAGAAGGCATGGAATTTCGTGGGGTTGACAGGCATATTATACGGATAGAAACCTTGGAGAAAGTGGAGTTTGGATCGATTTCTGTTTTCACTCGTTGCTTCCGGAACATCGAACCCGTAAGTACTACCTCGAGTAGAGTAGTAACCCATGGCTTGGCTCGGACTTTATTGCTTTTGCTCTGGATATCTTTGTATTATATGGAAAAGGTTGGTTATGGCTTCAGATTACGGGCCGACATTGTGAAGTTCTGATATGAATTATGAATTCATTTCATTATATTCTGAAAATGGCGAGTTTGAATTTTTGCTTTATTTTTGTCTTACACACCCCCTTCATCTCGCCAAGATTATCGGTAAAAATGCAAAATGCTTCGTGCAGACTACAGTGTATCTCCGTTTGCAAACCCGGATGTGCGTAATCATACAGTACTGAAATACTTGTACAAGGACAGTTATCATATCCTATAAATGGGTTCATTAATATGCTTCACTACCGATTCCGAGGTTTTTATCATCTCATCTTTTCGAATGGCGGTGTGGAAAGAGTATTGACCGAATCAGATAGTAAATAAGGAGAGAGCGTCAGCGTTCAACGTTAGGCAGAAGCTGGAAAGCTGCGAAAGCAACATTGCACGAAAGCCGAGTGTTACAATCGATAATGTTTGCAATCTAAAACAGGGTTTGATTTTTTATTTAATTTTCTTAATTCGTCGCCTTTCGATTTCGTATTGATGAGAACGAATTCTAGATTCAGCTTATCCTGGTAGCTAGATTTTAGGTTTCTTTCGAGGATTGTTTTAGATATTGATTTATGCCATCCACGGTTGCTGCCACATCTCAACAACACAAACACAAACCCCCACGTTATGACTTGTCAAAATTCGGGGAAGGGTTATGATTGAGGGAGATTGAGGGAGGTATGATTGGAGTCTTACTGTATTCGGCCTTATACGTGGGGTCTGCTCTTGGATTGATTTAGAAATGGGGAGAGACAGGACTGGAATGTGCGCAAGGAGATGGAATCATGGAAGTCAACTCGTAAAACTTCTAGACCTGGCCTTCCTAACTTACTTGGCCTGTCTGCAACCACCCCATCTCCAATATTCCGTTGCATGTTGCGAACAAGACATCGGTAGGCAAAGTATGGTACAGTCAACGGAAAGACCGTTTCTATTTTGGTTTGCAGCTTGAATTATTTACGACTCATACCAGAGAATGGGACGGGCCTTGACCTTCCGCCCAACTCGGGAACGGGATGAGGTGAGCAATAAGAGTCATTGAGCCAGCTCAATCTTCATAATACGTTTGCAACTCAATACTACCGTGCCTACGTTATTTCAGGTTACAGCTTTCATGCCTGATGCTAGCAAAGAAAAGGAGAATACAGTCATGGGCCCTTTTGTAATGGCCACGGATGAGGCGAGGACTTTATAATTTAGTATATCGTGAGTGGAGTAGCGATACGCCGGACACATGGCAGTGCCAGTCGAAAAGCCTCATGTTAATTAATATCTTCAACCGCTCAGAAGTTATCACATTAGGTAAACGATCTCGTGTCGATGCGGGGGCCCGCGATACCATTTACAGTTCATAGTACAGAATGATAAATCCGGGGAACCGGGTTTCTTCATCGTACAGTCCAAGGTTTGCTTCACCACACCAACACAAGTCGGTTCATTGTCTTTGGGAGATATTAGGCGTTCCTGGAAGATGGAAGACTCTTCTCCTTCACCAGTTTCGTTCATTCGTAAACGGATCTCAGATCCTCCATCTGTCTGAGTAAGATTCGGAGATATATTCTCTTCAGATCAGTCCGTCCAATTAACCAGAAGGTGAAAACTTCTACAAGTCAATTACCGGTATTTTACCCCTGATTAAGGTTACTGATGCATGGTAAATCTATCGCCGTTGAGCTCCACTGTGGGTACTTTGAGCATTAGATCCATCCATAATTACTTTCCCCTTTTTACTCCTGATAAATTCGATTAGATTCTTTCGGTTGAAACATGAATTAGAACTTACAGCTGGCTAGTGATTCGACATGATTGTGATGCGATAAGAACAACAACAACACCTGAGAAACTTTCACTCTACAACACACCACTCTCTACAGAGTCCACATGTTCCCCCAAATTTATAAATATCACCCAGCTATTGAAGATATCCGACCCCTTTTTACTTCAGGTGCATATCAACAATTGAACCCTTTCGTCAGCTTCATCATCAGCTCTTCCGGACATTCAATCCCACCTCGGTTATATCCCACGCCACAGAAAACAACGGCCGTCGCATTGCAGACGGGACGGTTCTCCTTCATGTATAGCATCCATCTACCGATTACCCGATTTAATCCATGATATCCTGCCAGATCGAATCCAGATGATAATACAGCTATCAAGCTATCAAGGCTGGCGAGACCTCCATCATGAGAGAGTTTCACACCATACTTACATATAACCCCTCTCCCCCCGCCCAAAGTCGCATTCGCCAAACAATACAGATTCTTGGCCAAATACGACCTCTTGATGTACCACCAGTTCAAGTATTGGATGAAGCTCCTCTAGTCCGCATCTTTTGTGCTACATATCCTGCATGATTTTCTTCAACTTTTCTTCAACTTCAATCTTTACATTCATATACCGGACGGTAATGATTTTATTAGCCGTTGCAAGCAATGGAGTGGTAGATCATCGCCGATTATAGATATGGAAACACAACTGCATTGTCTATGTACCATGTATATATATATCGTTGATGCAATCTATTCCGATCGAAGCAGCGACGATTTGGTCCTATGTTACAATTAGGCATCTGATAACCGTGGTCGGTACAATGCGATAAACTTATCACGCATGTGGCTCATGTAGTGTGACCCGCACGTGTCAATGTCTTTATCTTCCAAGATTAGTTATTGCGTGGAGAACTGAAATGAATGGATAGTTGTGCTCGTCACTGCTCCGCGATCGGATTATTCTTGCTGTATGAGTCCTAATTACGACAGTTCTTCTGGTTTCTTGATATGTTTAGATTTGTGCATATATCTGATGCTTTGAAGCTTCTTGCTCCTCCAAATGATACGCACTATGATGTTAGCCACCATCATTATTGCTACCCTTCACACTCAGAGTTCGTCAAACCTTGAATCTAATAACATGGCAAATGTATGTTGGGAGAGTCAACAAAGATGAATCACCTCACGATCGAAGTCAGAACTCCAATTGTATTTACCATCATTCATCTATCCACCCGTGACACATCTACCTATCCGTCTATCTATCAAGATATATTGTGCTTAATTTTCTCAGTTAGTAGCTTATCCTTATTCCCGAGTGAGAAATTACAAGTACCTTCCATACAAAGGTCAATTTGGCTAGGGATACAATGGTCTTATCCTTCTCTTTAAACCCTAACAAGTGTTTCGACTTCCCGGTCTTCGAGGGTTCAAGAAATTAAAACATCCAAGTTTAATCTCTTTCCTTAAACCTTGACAGTATGAGCGTACTTCGTGGGGGTGACCAGCCACTCATTTATTTGCCCCGGGTTTAGAAATTGTGCGTTTTGTGTTGAAAGATCTGCAATTCACCAGTCCGAGTAGAATCAGCATTAAATTACATCTCTCTTTCTTTTAAGTTTTCACTAGACAAACTCTACGTACTTTGTAATCTTTTTGAGAAGTTTTACACTTAGAAGTGCCATGACCTCTTTCCCGATTAATTAGGATCCAAGTTATCTCTCCCATACTTCATGGGCATTACAGATGTTCCGCTGGTCAGGAATGAATATTGCCGTGTGATTTCTACTCGCAAGTCTGCTTTCAAATCAATGCTTATAACATCGTAAGAAGGCAGAAAACACAATACTACTGTCTGTGTCCCATTGTACCCTCCAAGACCAACCTGAACTATTAAGGGGTAGTTTCTGTTCACTCTTACTATTTAAACAACAATCATTCTCAAATTCATATCCATGGCCCACGGAAATGAGAAACTGGGGGTACATAAGATGGATTTCAACTGATCCACAAGTCAAGATCCTTCCTTTGGATGGACGAAGCATTGTCTGTGACATGGATCACATTATCATTGACCACGAAATCAGTCAAGATGAGCATTTACACTAGAAAGACACTTTTAGTTAGGCATCCTTATCTGCAATATTAGAATGTGAATATTGCAGAAACAACTCGCCAAAAGCGAGTGTGTGGATGTGAGTCAAAGACGGTATTTTGCTAGGAAAATCTCTTGAAACGAAAATGCTGCGGGTTCAGTGACGGGAGTTTGAAGAAAGGAGTGAAGAGGGGTAAGTTGGCTAGGGATGTGATGGGATGGGATGGAGTTTCATATAACTGATGATGTGTAGGTTGGAGAGGGAGTTCGAGAGAGTAGAGAGGTATAATGTTTTATCGACTTGCGGCGAGATGACTTGATGGTCAAGTTTGAAATGAGATTAAAATCTGAAAATTAACTGAGGGGGTCCAGGGGTGGATGAATACTCGTATAGTGTTACTCTATATAACTATTACTATTCACGAGAGAGAGATATCACTGCTTTGTATATGGCGAATATGTTATTTGTTATATGCTCTTTCTTTTTGCGTCATCGTTAATTTTAAGTTCAACTTCAATTTCTCACCTTTTCCATACCATATTCCCACTTACTTACTTATTTACTTATTTACTTACATCCCTCATGCCAATCTCCACTCACACTCACGCTCACGCCAACAGACCACTCACTCATTCGCACAATATATACTCGAGTAATGATCGGGATAAAGTTTGTCTAAGAAATAGAACTGGGAAGTTGGGAAGTGGTCCAAGTGGGAATTGAAATGTGGTTGGTGGTTAGTGATGAGATGAAGCACGTTCTCTCTCCCCAAATAGTAATCTTATCTTCTAAATACGAGCCCTTATTCTTATTGTTGGTACTCTCGCATGATATACCGACACTTATCTTCCAAATAGATGTATTCCTTCTGTCTGCAACCACTCTTCATATATATATATCTAGCACCCGTTCCCACTCGAAATCTCCCAAGCTTCAATTCATCCTGTACGATGGATAAGCTTCTTTCATTGACTAGGTTAGTATGTACGAGTATTGAATTGAATGACGACGTCGGTCATTACTATTTATTCGATTTTCTTATCTATTCATGAAACTACTCGAGTATATCGGTCAATGAAACCTGCCAGTCAGTATCCATTATTGATTGAGTCCAATTCTCGGGATGGAAAGCAAAATCATCTCGTATACAGACAGTATTTTCTCGAGTCTCCTGATATATTATATCTTACATATCTCCATATATATCTCTTGTCCTGTCAAAACTCGAAAACCAAGGTGAAAGAATGTGGTTCTAGGCTTTGGTGGTATATCGATCCTCTTTTTCTTTTCTTTTGTTTTTTTGCAGAATCTAAGAGTAGTACATGTAGGTGTTCAATACTACTAAGATAGTTATGCAAAACTTTCATGGTTCAGATCATGATATGCAGAGAGCTGCGATGGAGTTGGTGCTTAGGTGGTAGTCTTAGGTGGTAGGAATGATCGTCCTATCTTCTTGGGATGGATTGGCAGCGGTGGAAATTACTGGGGTTTGATGAGTATAAATAAAACAAAATGCTAAGATTGTAGGATTTGTAGCCTTTGTTTGTGCTGGAGGGATATTAGTATTGTGGGATTTGATGGGAAGGATTGGATACTGGATACTGGAGGGGTGGCTTTGGGTGAGGAAGTTTTCTGGGGTATGCTGATAGAATATGCTTATAGGATATGCTCATAGAGCATTCTAGAGACATTGTGAAGTTGTAGAGAGGAGAGGAGATTTGAGGGTGGGTGAGTGGGCGGATGAGCAGATAGTAAGCTGGCCCTTCAGATGAAAGTGTTCAAAGAAAATTAATGACAGTATCCTTCTCCCAACTGTATGAGCTTTCACTGCACAACTAAACATTCAACAAATTTTAGGCCACACCATCTCCGATCTACAAAGGCCTAACAGCCTCCTCCATCGTCATCGGCTGTCTCTCCACATTCTCCAATCTCTTCCTTTACCCGATGATTTTCTCCTCTGTCTCCTCAACCTCCTCCAGCTTACAAGACTTTTTCTTCCCCTCTCACCTTCACCATTCCAAATTACTTTCTTCCCTCCTAATATCTCCCTCAAAATGTTTGCTCCACGCCTTCACCAGTTTCCCCTTCTCTCCCTCTCAACCCCCGTGTTTAGCAATGGCCTTTTCTAACACATTAGTGCGTTGTTCTGTTAATCTCAATTATGGCGTTTGTGATATGTCTAACGTAAGATGTGAGTTCAATACCTCTTCGTCCCATTCCCGTAGCATTTTCCGATCCCTAGAGCTCGGAATCCATTGAAGCTTCACAAGACTACTGGTGTAGTCTTCTAAGAGTTCTCTACGTGGTAATGAGGAAGGTGGGCGTGGGAATTGCGATAAGACCCTCGCGGCGGCTTGGAAACCCATAGAGGCCGGGATCTTCGCACTCTCCTGATTCTTGACCTGTCATTGTTATATGATCTGATTCTGGGTTAGTGAAATTTGGTGGATGATGAAATGAGGATTACGGGAGAAGGGAAATAGTTTTTGATCGTTGGGTTGGCTGGTAAGAGAGTTTGAGGGGCAACATGACGAAAAATATTTGGTAGGGGTTCATAGGAGGTGGGAAGTGGAACGCGGCGGCCAGAGTGTCAGTATTATAGTGGTAGCAGTCCGCTTGAACATGAGCGAATATCAGAGCTTTGCGTCAACACTTTTGGATGCAATGAGTTGTAACTTGTTACTTTGAGTATTGCTTAAAATCTTGTGTAACACAAGGGGCGCAACATCATAAGATGTAATGATGACAGCTTAAAACCCTCACCATCTCTTGTATCAAGAAACATCATCGTCCCATGATTTCCTCATTCATTGATGCAAAGCTCCCACGACCTCATGTATTCTCCATTCTCATCATCAAACCCTTCATCGAGAGAACAATATCCCGGAGCTCGACTCTGTGCCAAAGCCTCCGGATTCCTTATGTCGGCAAAACTCCCACCGAGATTAAACTCATCTTCATTGCGATAGCGTTCAACGTACGGGAGGGAGTACGTGGAGATGCTCAAGGACTTGTGGCTCAAGACTATATCTTTTGACGAGATCCACATCGATGGGAGGATCGTAGGGCGCATATTTTATGCAAGAGGAGGGGAAGTAGAGAATTTTGGAGAGAATTTCGTAGTATTGTGTTAGCTGATTTACTATTTCTTGTTGGTCGTATACTCGGGTATTTTCAGGCTCACCGGGTAAGGTGATATCGGAGAGGGTTTGAATCTGATAAGACCTGATATACCGGTGTATGGGTATGCTAGGAAAACGGGGAACAGTGATTTATCGATTGAGAAAGAGAAAGAGAAAGAGAAATATTAAAACCAAATGTTATTACATCACCGTACAAAATATTATATTTATAGAGAATAGAGAAAGATAAAAGATATACCGTATTAACTAGTTAGCAAGATAATATTTTATAATACTAAAAAGTCTTTTTATTAAAAATTCTATTATTAAAAAAAGATAATATCTTATATTCAAAATTGATTATAATATTATTATATTTTGAAATTAATTAACTATTTCGACGACTCTCTTTCATTCACTAGCTTATACTCTCTATATAATATAATAAGACGATTCTTTTAGATCTTCCTTTTTGGAGGCGTAGTCTCTAAATATTCTTACTATATATAAGTATAAGCTATAACGTGGTTTATCAGTATGTGGATCATATCAGTACATGGATCACTTTTACCTCAATTTACAACTTTCAACTTCAACACGCGATTTATCAACAATCTACGATGCAATCGAACAATAAAGAAGGTCGGATACTTTTAGCTATTGAAGCTATTCAAAAAGACAAAAAATTAAGCTATCGAAAAGCTTCCAAGCTATACAATATACCATATACAACGCTTATCCACAGAATGAATGGTTCTATCTCTTGTACAGAATATCGATCAAAAAATCATAATATTACAAAAATGGAAGAGGAAATGCTTATTCAATATATTATTGATATAACTAATCGAGGGTTTGTATCTAAATTAAATAGTGTGGAAGATATAGCGAATTATATTCTTGAATCGAGAGATGCGAAAAAGATTGGAAAACTCTGGGCTTATCGATTCGTAAAGTGTCATATAGAATTAAAGACGTGTTTCAATTGTGTTTATGATTTTCAAAGAGCTTTTTGCGAAGATCCCAAGCTTATTGAAGAATGGTTTCGATTAGTATCGAATATACAGGCCAAATATAATATTCAGGATCGCGATTTTTACAATTTCGACGAAACCGGTTTTATGATGGGTATAATATACTCTGGAATGGTTGTAATTGATATTGAATGGCGTAGCAGAAGCAAAGCAATACAGCTAGGTAATCGAGAATGGGCTATGGCGATTACATGTGGTAATGGAGAGGGTAAAACTATACCTCCATTTAGTGGTGCAAGGACAATATCACCTTTCTAATTGGTATACTGAAACCGATCTGCCGGCAAATTGTGTTATTAAACCTACTAGCAATGGATGGACGAATAATGAGACGGGTTTAGAATGGATAAAGCATTTCGATAAACATACAATCCATCGAAGAACGGGCAAATATCAAATACTAATATTGGATAGGTATAAAAACCACGAATCGATATCTTTTCAATTATACTGTACAGAAAATGATATTATATACCTCAAATTACTATTGTATTCAAGTCATTTAACTCAGCCATTAGATATTGAATACTTTAGTATATTGAAACGATTATATGGTTCTCAGATTAAAGGATTTATCAAGGCTTATATCAATTATATCTCAAAGATTGAATTCTTTATAGCTTTCAAAGCTGTATATCAACAATCGATTACAATTCAGAATATGAAAGCTGGCTTTCAAAGAGCAGGACTAATACCATTTGACCCTCAAGCCGTGCTCTCGAAATTAGATATTCGAATTCATACGCCTAGCCCTTTATCCACTCCCTCGGAACCTATCGATTCTTGGGTCTCTCAAACACCTCATAATCCAACTGAAGCTCTTTCATAATCGACTTTAATCAAATCTCGAATATATTGTTATCAATCAAGTTTTCCTATATCTATATTCGAAACTGTACTAGCTTTAGCTAAAGGCATAGAGAGATTAGCATATAAGAATAAACTTTTAAATATAGAAATCTGTATATTTCGAAAAGCAAATGAGACATTAAACAAACGTTGATGTACAAAAAAGACTCAATTATGTCAAGGAGAAATACTTACTAGACAAGAGGTTATAGATATATTATTTCAGTAAGAGGTTGATATTCAGATTCTACATAATGAGCATCAAAATAGAGCGAATTCTAATAGGGAAACATTTTTTAGTAGATGCTGTAGTAAGTGTGGAAAACCAGGTCATAATTCAAGAACTTGTTCTAGTAATGTAATAGATTCTAGATTATTAGATTCCTAATAGTTTCAATCAATTGATTCAATTGTTGTTGAATAATATGGTTTTGAAGTTGTAAATTGAGGTAAAAGTGATCCACGTACTGATATGATCCACGTACTGATAAACCATGTTAGTAGACTAAAAAATGTTGTTCGCTTAAAATGAGTCGCGATTCTGATAATCTGATTGGTAATAAGTTGAGTATAACAAAAAGCTTTCAATTCAGTATAGAATTTTAATTAATTGAATAAAATAATAATAATTTTGATAATTAGATTAAAACAATTAAAGGTTTTCAGAATATATAATTATTATTAAAGTAAATCTAATATTAGAATAGATATTATTGAAATTATTAATAAAATTATAATAAAAGTAATAGTGATTGATAATATAGAGTAAGAATAAATGCTTAGTAATCATGCCTTAGGCATAATCGATTTAGAGCTTTTTAGAGCTTTTCAGATTATTATTATTATTATTATTAAAGCTTTATAATAATAATAATAATAATAATAATAATAATTGTCACGGGTTCATTACCCGTTCCTACACCTACCTATACGTACCTACACCTATCACATATCCACTACCCATTCTTAGTTAGTTCAGGTGGATGCCTTAGGTATCCACCCATTATATAATCGGTATCGCTCTATACACCTCCTTCTTTCCTTATCAAATATTATATATCTTACCTAATATCTACCAGAACCTATATCAACGCTGTGATAATATATTCGACTTTTCAAAAGGCCCTATTATCAATAATAATCTGGCTTTGATTATACTTACTTATATATAACGATTTTAATTTGATAATCTTGATTCTGACTTTGATTTGAACTATTATAATAACTGATATAACAAATTTATTGGTTATATCTAATAATACCAATTTTAGTATATCTGTTATCAATACCAATACACCTGCTCCTGAAACTATAATATATAAAACCTTGATTATATATATTTATCAAATATTCCAAAACCAACCCTATATTATTGATATACTCATTTTTAGTACCCTTTTCCAAAACCCAACTCTACTGATCATTTATTCAATACAGAAGACACTGATTCCGTTACTTAGCGTTTTCTTCGAAATCTGCTTGCCATATTTGAAGCTATTATCAAAGAATGCTACATTGAATATACAACCTAAATAACTGTTAAAGAATAACTCAAAACTGAATATATAGCCTGATTAGCTATCGAAAAACAATTCAACCAGGTTTGTAATAATCTTTTTGTTCAGCAATATCAACTTCAAAAAATACACAACTCTGTTATCAAGATCTCTAATCAAAATCCTCCTCCGAATCCTTTTTATATTTAACTAATAATATAATAAAAAATCCCTGAACCTTTCAAAGATAAAAAATCAAACCTATTCACACAACAGAAAGAGTACCTTTCTTGAAAGCTTGGTTTTCGATTTTGTTGAGAACATAATATAGCTTGCTTCGATACCAAAAAGAAAAAACTTGTTTATATAGCTATATTACTCGATGGCACAGTATAGCAAGAAAGACTTAAAGATATTCTTATAATATTAAATAATATTTCTCTTTATCTTATTACAAACTCTTTTCTGGAAAGACTTGATAGACTTTATATTTCAATTAATCTAAAGCGAGATATTATAATAAAGTTTAGGAAACTAATTATAATAGATAAACAGTCTTTTGCTTTGCTTTTTTGTAATTTTGGAGAAACTTGGTTTTATAATAAAATTACTAGATATAATAATAATAATATTCT